ATTGCATTTTGCATTTTGCAATTTTGCAATTTTGCAATTTTGCAAATTTTGCATACTTTAGTTGCAAAGATAGACACAGATAGACTCTAAATTTTTGATCTTAAATCTCTTAGACACTGCCGATTGGTCACGGATTTAATAGAATGTTTGAAAATTGTAAATGACAGCCAACCTATCCCTCTTTTTCGAGATTTATTCAAAGTTAATCCCACGGTTAGTTCAAGGAGAGGTTCTTTCGTTAGAAATTCTTGGCTTTAGAAATTCTTTTAGAAATTCCAGTCACCTTCAATAAGTTTGCGTTTAACTCTTTTCCAATAAGAACTGCCAGAATTCCAGAATTTGGAATCGATTCCCCAGAGTTTTGAGAGAGTCCAATAGTCTCGAAACTCTTCAAATCATCTGTAGATGATCTTGATCTTGGATCCTTGACGTTCTCTGTACTACCTATATATTCCATATACTATCTGTAGATGATCTTGAGCTTGAAGCTCTAGTGGATCCTTGACGTTCTCTGTGCTACCCAGCATCTGTGCTACCCAGCATCTGTGCTACCCAGCATCTGTGCTACCCAGCATCTGTGCTACCCAGCATCTGTGCTACGTTACAGATATTATATCGTGTTTCTTTTTAATCGACCCTTTTCGTGTTATGTGTATTGGGTTGGGGAGAATGAGTCGGCGCCGAAAATCAAAAAAATTTTTTCAACCGCCCTCTCCTGCCTGCACTACTATTACAGAAAATACGGTATATTAAATCGTGTTGCTTTTTATCGGCCCTTTTTTATCTATCTTTTTGTGTTATTTGTATGAATTCATGTGTTTTAATCTTAAATCTAGCGCACTTTAGGTCCTGAATAAAGTAAATCTCAAATCTCAGGTCCTGAATAAAGTATCTTTATATATGTTGTGTCCGATTTAGATTTCCGTTCGATTTAGATTGAATCTAAATCTTATATAGATTGAACAATAATATAAACATGCTTAATAGATGTTCTTAAGCGTAAGAACATACACCCATGCACAAAAAAAATGTCACATCGTTTTTACAAAACTTTACGCCTAAATTTGACCTACTAAACGTGTTCCAAATTCTATGCTGTCAAAAGGTTTTAGATAGCAAAAAGCTTCTACTTTCTTGTGAAAAAGTGTTCAAGTTCCAGCAATTTGCTTAAATTTTTATTTTTCAATAAATACCGGAAGAACACCAAAAACGGGTGCACAAAAAAAATGTCACATTTAACTTGAACCTCCCTTAGCTGGGCCTCCCTTAGCTTGAATAACTGCCTGAATCCTCCGTGGCATCGAATCAGTCAAATCCTCCAAGATTTGAGGAGAAATTTTCCGCCATTCGCTTCGAATGAAGTACCAAAGCTCAACCTTGGTCGCAAATCGTTTGCCCTTCAGTTTACCCTTGATGTGCGACCACAAATGCTCGATTACGTTGAGATCCGGGCTGTAAGGTGGAGCAGCGACGAGCTTGACACGATTGTCAGCGAACCATCCCGGTAAACGAGCCCTTCCACCGTTTGAAAGTCGGCCGACCCTTCCTATCAACATCTGATGCTTGTGACACGGAGCGTTATCCTTGTACAACAACCATCCTTGTCCCATATTCGTGGTCGCAAATGAAAGAAGATCATTCTCCAGGATCGTCTTGTACCGCTGGGCCTTCAAGATTGAGTTGAGAAAGACGAGCGGACCTGGTGAACTTCTAGTTATCGCTCCTGAAAAAAAGCAAGATTAGTTGACATAAGGGAACAAGTCTTTTACCCCATAGCATAATCGATCCGCCACCAAATTTGACTGTCGGCCGCAAGTATTTGATGTTATGGCGTTGTCCAACTGGTCTCCGGATTATGCTATGGGGTAAAAGACTTGTTCCCTTATGTCAACTAATCTTGCTTTTTTTCAGGAGCGATAACTAGAAGTTCACCAGGTCCGCTCGTCTTTCTCAACTCAATCTTGAAGGCCCAGCGGTACAAGACGATCCTGGAGAATGATCTTCTTTCATTTGCGACCACGAATATGGGACAAGGATGGTTGTTGTACAAGGATAACGCTCCGTGTCACAAGCATCAGATGTTGATAGGAAGGGTCGGCCGACTTTCAAACGGTGGAAGGGCTCGTTTACCGGGATGGTTCGCTGACAATCGTGTCAAGCTCGTCGCTGCTCCACCTTACAGCCCGGATCTCAACGTAATCGAGCATTTGTGGTCGCACATCAAGGGTAAACTGAAGGGCAAACGATTTGCGACCAAGGTTGAGCTTTGGTACTTCATTCGAAGCGAATGGCGGAAAATTTCTCCTCAAATCTTGGAGGATTTGACTGATTCGATGCCACGGAGGATTCAGGCAGTTATTCAAGCTAAGGGAGGCCCAGCTAAGGGAGGTTCAAGTTAAATGTGACATTTTTTTTGTGCACCCGTTTTTGGTGTTCTTCCGGTATTTATTGAAAAATAAAAATTTAAGCAAATTGCTGGAACTTGAACACTTTTTCACAAGAAAGTAGAAGCTTTTTGCTATCTAAAACCTTTTGACAGCATAGAATTTGGAACACGTTTAGTAGGTCAAATTTAGGCGTAAAGTTTTGTAAAAACGATGTGACATTTTTTTTTGTGCATGGGTGTATATTTAGCACGTTTATTATTGTTCGATCTGTATCGGACGTCCGATATAGACTGTAATCAATAAAAGACCTTTGAAAAAATGCAGAAAACTACAGAAAACGCTTAAGAACATACATTAAGCATGTTTATATTATTGTTCAATCTATATAAGATTTAGATTGAATCTAAATCGGACGTCCGATCTAGACTGTAATCTAAATCGGACGAAAATCTAAATCGAACACAACATATATAAAGACTGTGAATTGTTGTCAATCAAAGAGCTAATCAAAGAGTTCTAGCTTTCTTTTTAATCAATGATTTGCTAATCCAAAAAAAGAAAACAAAAGGCTTTCTTGTTGTTGTTTGAAAAAAGAAGATTTAAAGATTATAAATAGAATTTTAAAAAGTTATTATCAAAAAAAAAAAAAAACACTTTATGATAAGGATTCTTAAAGCTATTTTCACAAAAAAAAAATCAAAATATCTTACGATTTTGATTAAATTTTTGATTCAATAAGAGTTTTATGTAGAGAAATGTTCCAGTTTTCTTTTAATCAATGATCTTGTCTCATTTTAAACAATCTTCTGATCAAATGACATAGCAATGTATAGTATTTTTATGCGATAATCGATTCTTTATGATTAACTTGATTGGCTTTAAAGGCAGCTAATGATAATCAGCTTTTTGTAATACAATCTACCTTATTCCTTATCCATCAGGACGATCGGAGAGATCAGCCTCTCCCCGTCCTGGATCACCAAGTTTAAATGTAATACAGTCTACCTTATTCCTTATCTCATTTTCTACAATCTTCTGATCAAATGACAGAAAAAAAACCATTTAAACAATTTGTTTTTCTTCAAAATCTCTCCAAATTTCTTCAAAACCTCTCCAAAAGTCTGACTCATATTTCTTGCAAAATTCCAAGAAATTTACCAAAAAGTTTTGTGCTTTTTAAGAAAAGATATGAGAACTGTTTGAGTCTTTGCTTGTCTTCAAGGAAAAGAAGAACAAATCGATGTCGGGGTGGGGAACACTAAATGAAAAAAAGGAGAAACAAACAGTGTGACTGTACTCTCTCGAAACAAATCCCCCTCAAACTTATCCTTTTCTTTCCTCTTCTTCCAACACTTGTTTCATCCATTCGTTTTCAAAAACCGTTTCGTTTTTGTTAGAGAAAGGGGTTTACGTGCAATTGAAGAAGGAATTTAGGGAATTTAGGGAATTTAGGGAATTTAGGGAATTGAATAGAAGGGATTCTTGGAGATCTTTCCTTTCTTCTTCTTCCAACACTTGTTTCATCTTTCCTTTCCTCTTCTTCCAACGATGAATAAAAGAGATTTTAAGGGAAAAATGAAGATATTGCTTTGAAATTTATAGAAGATAAAGAAACAAAGCCTCTAAAATCAACAAAAAAAGATCGAAACTTGAAAAATTCATTAACCAACAAAAAAAACGAAGTACTCTGACGTCATCTTTCCATATCAAACCTATTTTGGCTTATAAAATCGAAATTTTCTTTCTAAATATGGTCTTAATTAGATTATAATCAGTTTAAGCCGCTCATAAACTAGATTTTCTAGATATGATTTAAATAAACAACAATTCATAGTACTTTATACCAATTGACCAATTCAATAACCATCGCAAACTTGCTATTCATTTGAAAAAAGCGTCGGAAATGAATGAGGATGAAGAAACAAAGTTTGAGTAATCGTTTAGAGTTGGAGAAGGTGAAGAAGACTTGAGATAAAGGGTGAATTCGAAAGAGCTTTGAAAGAGCTTTGAAAGAGCTTCGAACTAGCTTCGAACTAGCTTCGAAAGAGCTTTGAAAGAGCTTTGAAAGAGCTTCGAAAGAGCTTCGAACTAGCTTTGAAAGAGCTTTGAAAGAGCTTTGAAAGAGCTTCGAACGAGCTTCGAACTAGCTTTGAAAGAGCTTTGAAAGAGCTTCGAACTAGCTTCGAACTAGCTTTGAAAGAGCTTTGAAAGAGCTTTGAAAGAGCTTCGAAAGAGCTTCGAACTAGCTTTGAAAGAGCTTCGAATTAGCTTCGAAAGAGCTCAAATAAGCTTACAAAATTTTTTGCAAAACCGCAAAACAACTTTCTTGCAATCTTGGAGAGCTTAAAAGTACTCAACTTTTTGAATTCAGTACCAGATTTGAAGTGTTTAAGAAAAAAAGAGTTAAGAAAACAAAAGGAAATCAATTTTCAATCAATCAATCAAAACTAGCGACGTTGTTATCATTAAAAGCATCTTTTATTCTAAATTGTTTCAATCATATTGTCATTTTATTTTTCTTTTCTTTTGAAGAAAAGATTTCAGTAAACATACAAAATATAACAAGTATTGTTTAAATTTAAAATTTTCCTTTTTTTCCAGGGTGATTTGTTGATGGAATGTGTGCTCGAGGCGGATCCCAAGCCTGAAATCGTGTGGCAACATTCCGGTGAGTGAAAAATAATAAATCAATCTAACAAATCAATCAAAATGAAATATTTTCTTCTTTTTCTAGGCACTCCAATGTCCCCATCGTCCCGTGTGGAACAGGAGTTGAAACCACAAGGCGGAAATCTTTTCATTGCTATCCTTAGCATTAAGGTAAAATAAAAGTTAAATGAAATAAAGCTTTCTACTTGAAAAGCCGTCTCTTCTCCACCACAAAGACAAATCGATCACTTTTCAGGAGCCAAACGCTGGCGATGGTGGTGCCTATCGTTGCACGGCTAAAAATACCCACGGAGAAAGCAATGCCAACATTAACCTCAATTTTGCAGGTGAATTTTATTGGAAAGACTAATTTTTTGATTATTGGGTATGTATTAGAAAATACATTTATTCACTTGAATAATTTGGTATAAAAAATACACAAGCACAACACTTAAGCCCTAGGGAAGAAGAAAAACAAAAAAAGAAACTTCTAATCCAGCGTCGGGATTGAACCCTTGACCTTCGGACTAGGAGACAGGGCTCTTTGGCCATAGGTGCCGCTGGATTAGTTAATCGAAATTGACTTCAGGAGGTGGCGAAGAGCCGAAATCCCGTGGTCCGACATTTGTTGGTAAACCGCGTATCATTCCAATGGATGGAGGAGCAAGAATTGTGATGGAATGTCGCGTCAAATCCTCCACCCCACCAACGGCTAAATGGAGCAAGGTTGGCAAGTTCGGAACTCCGAAAAAGCTCTCTATTCAAGCTCTTTCAAACGCTTAGACCAATGCTCAATCAATAGAAATCTCATTTGTAGTGAGTGAAGAAAATCTTGGCTTATATCATCCACTAAATCCACTGAAAAGTCATTCTTTCAGAATTTGATTTGATTTTTATTTAAGTAGAATGAATCTCTTTGTAGTTTTTGAATAGTTTGAACTTGGACGTAATTCTTACTATTTTTTGCTTGAAGAATTTCAATCTCTAAATCTTTAAAACTAAATCTTCAATTCCAGGATGGTATCCCCATTTCCGGCTCGCAATTTCACGAGCTCTTTCAAGATCTCGGCGAGCAAACCTATCTCTGCCAGCTTGAGATTCATGTGAGTAATAGTTTAATAGAGTTTAATGGTTTAATGGAATTTACAATATTAGGGTCCATCCACTTCGGATGCTGGCCAATATCGATGCACTTTGAAGAACGCTGAAGGAGAGACAAACGCAAATTTGGCGCTCAACTTCGAAGAACCCGACGAGGAACCACCACCAGCTGAGGAGAAAAGAAAAGGGTAAGATTTGAAAACGAAGACTTTTGTAATGTTTTACTGTAGCCAGAAGATTTGCAACAGAATTTTGCAACAGAATTTTTCTAGATCTAGATCAATTCTGTTAAATCTAGATCTAGATCAATCAATCCAAATTTCTAGAAGAAGACCGAACGTTCGCCATCAGGACGATCGGAGAGATCAGCCTCTCCCCGTCCTGGATCACCAAGTAAAAAGAAAAAAGAAAGAGCGGGAAGTGAACGAGAAGGAACACCGAGAAAAGAAAGAAGAAGCAAGAGTAAAGAAGCGTCTCCAGGGAAAACCACACGGTAAGTTAAAGATCAAAACTTATACAGAGTTGTTGACAAACTTGCGATAATCATAGACTTTCATTACTGTTTATTGAACAATAAGAAATTTGCTTAGTTTTCTATGATCAAAAGTAAACTTTAAAGTCATCAATCTATCCATTTTTAGCTCTCGCACTTCAACGCCGGTGATGGGCGACGAGTTGACACCCGATCAGGCAAAAACGCGACGTGGCAGTAGCAAGCTGGCTGAAGGGGAAAACGGTTTCACTTAAATAAAACTAAATATTGTTAAATATTGTATTTAGGCTCATCAAAGCGTGTCCGTGAACGATCAACGTCAGCTCTCACCGCTGAGGAGAAAAAACAGCGCACAAAGAGCCCCGGATTAGAGGATATCCCGCAAAAGGTGATTCATTAAATTAAGCATTAAATTAAATTATAGCATTAAATTAATTAAATTAATTTAGCATTAAATTATAAGCATTAAATTAGCACTTACCGTAAATACTGTAATAGTACCCCACTCCCCTCGTACAGTCGCGTAGTCGCAAAAGTTTTTTAGTATTTCGTTTTTTTTCAAAGCGCTCGTATTTTCGAAAAATGCGTCTTTGGTATCAAAAAATAGCTGAAATTCAGGGCTATTTTTTGATATTTAAACGCGCATTATAGCATAAACCAGTGTCGAGAAAAACTCGTTCAAAACTAGACTACACAACACTCCGCACCGTCTTTATGGGGGTGGAGTACTATTACAGTATTTACGGTAAGTTTTTATACTTAAAAATTTCTAGTCCGAAGTTGAGGAGTCAAAATATGAATCGTCTAATTATGGTCGTGAGACGACGACGAGGAAAGATGAAGCGGTGAATAAGTGAGTGAAGAGAGCTTATATATGATTTCTTTTAAAGATATTCAATTGATTAATTGATTTGGTGGGAAATTCCCTTCAAATGTAAAGATATTCAGTTGATTAATTGATTTGGTAGGAAATTCCCTTTAAATGTAAAGATATTCAATTTACGGGGAGCAAAAAAACGGGTATTAATGGGCTCAAATTTGACTTTTTTTCTTTTACTTAGAAAAACACACTTCAGTCATCTGTCTCTTGTCAGTATCACAAGTTTCTTTTTGTTTCTGATTGAAATATATCTTTATATAATTTTAATACTCTTCCGTTAGACTTCAGCACTGTATTTGCATTTCAATTCCCGAGATAAGCTGAATGCTAAATCGTATTTATGCTAAATTCATTGATTTATTTATTGTATTTATTGTTTATTTATTGATTGTTTTAATTTATTATACTATTTCAATCGTTTCTTTTTCAGAGACTCCTCATTGACCGATTTGCCGAATAACGCGCGCGAGAAGTTCCGACGAGCGCCCGTTGTCGTCGAGCCGGCTACATCAAAGGTTTTTCAATTTTAATATTTTAACGCTTAACTTGCTCATTTGGCGTCATCATCAAGTTTTCTTGTATTATTCTTCTTACTTTCAAAATCCTTTAGATCTAAGTCTTTGACTTACGAGTTGTAACATGAAATAGTGAAATTACGATAGCAGATTGTAGCTTTTAGTTGCTAGTTTCAAACATTCTTTGCTCAGTGCCCAATTATCAAAAGTAAACCAGTAAAAACCCAGCAGGCAAGAACAACAATCTCTCTTGACTATTTTTGCTGAAAAAAAGAGGAAAGCAACGGGTGTTCAAAGGTGATAAATTGAGGTGAGCGAGAAAAGAAATGAATGATTTTTGAGGGGGACTTGGGGGTACCTGGAGACGGAGATCTTGGCCTAGACCCTTCACATTACACACCCCCATTTCCTCCCTTTCTTCTCCGATTTCTTGTTTTTGTTTTTTCCTCCTTTCAAAAAACAAGAGCAATAGATAGAAATATGATGAAACGCTTGCAAAATGCATAGCTCTTGTTGTTGAACACGTAAAGTTGATTGATTATGTGAAATCATGTGTAAAAATACAAGAAAGATTTCCGGAGAGTGGATTGAACCATCGACCTTTTTACTTTTCGAGCAATTGCTCTAACCATTGAGCTATCCGAGAGTAAGAGGAAATACATGGAGGAAGAGAAAGGAAGAAAGAGAAGGAATACCTTTCAACAAATAATTCTTTAGGCAGTCCGTTCTGGTAGCTCAGTGACGCTGGAAGTGGAATGGCAATGCCATACATCGACCACGATCAGCTGGTTCAAGTGAGTGTGCCTTTTGATATTTATATTTCTGAATATTTATAGACACTTATGTCTCTTGAAATTAGCAAATAACTTTATTTCTAATTCAAATTTGATGAGTAAAAACGTTTCCATTCAGAGACGGAACAGAGATTCGATCGAGTCGAGATCACATCACCTCGTTTGATGGTCGTTATTCCCGGTTGACCATCAACAATGTGACAAGAAATCTCACTGGTTTGTCATTGAAATTTATTGGTTAGCTTTTGTAACTTCGTTGAGATATTTAGGTGTTTACAAATGCTATGCTCGATCCGAATACGGTGATGGAGAGAGCTCAGCGGCTGTTCATCTTGAAGATGAAAAGAATAATTATGAGGAAGAGGTTTAAGAATTTCAAAATATAATTTCAAAGTTATTTAGCAACTTAAATCCGAAGATGAGAGTAACTATGCGAAAAGCAGGAAAAGTCCCGTAAGTTTTATCTATCAAGAAAGGATTAGTAAGAAAGGATGACAACAAGTTTTATCTGTACCTCAAAAACTTTTTGTGATCTTGGGTATCTCATTAGGAACTCAGTCTATTTACATACAAAATATTAGTTATAAAAGCTAGAAATTTTTCAATCTGAATCTTTTTAGAGTCCCGCTTATCGCAAGAAATCTCCAGTGGCAAGCCGAGAAAGCAGTCTCAGACCTGATGCGGTTGGTGTTAAGAAAAACAAAATATTAGTAACAATAAAAGATACCAAAGATCAGCTATACTTATAGCTTAGCTATCCACAATTAGTCTTGTTCCATTTCTAAATTCAATCTCCTACATTGACGGATTGTGGGACATTTAATCGGCTCCATCCCTTTCTCATTAGCAATCCAACTTTAAACTCAAATTTCTTGATGTTAGGCTGCTCAATTTTTGTACCAATTGATAGAGAAAGACTTGACGTATCTAATGATATCAAGAATATTGAAATTGAACAACTCAACACAGAGATATTTAAGCTCAAAGTTAGATTGCTAATGGGAAAAGGAGCGGGATCAAATTTCCGATAAGCATTGACTTTAATCATGAAATTTCTGAATTTATGGAAATATAGGATAATAATGGTTATCTATCAAATGAATAGATTTATTTAACTTTTTAGAATCGTGCCGGCTCCCGTCCCGCAGCCGATGATGAGGTGAGTGAATTGAAATTGATTGACACATGTAAATTGAAAAGAAACAACAATGAAATCAATATCTAATCATCAATTTTAGTTCTAATCTTTTTAAAATAATTTATATTTTTTTGTCTTTAACTTTCTTTTTCTCAAGTTTCTTAGTAAAGAATCGGATAAAAGTGAAAAAGTGAGATTTTCGGGAAATCTTGTACTCACAAGTTCTCGAATGTGTGAAGGGATGTGTAAACATTCAAACATTTCACTTACCTTGAAAAATCTGTTCAAAAGGAACCGTACTGTTCTTTTCATCTAAATTGAGAGAGAGAGAGAGAGAAGTGTTCTGTTTATCGCATTTCATCTTCTTTTTCTTTTCTTTTTCTTCGTTTTTCTTCGTTTTTCTTATTCTCAATGCACTCCATTCACACCCATTTAACATGTAATTCTGGAAAATTTTCTGGAAAAACATTTAACATGTAATTCATGATGAAACTTTAAAAGAAATTCTTGCATGCATTTTAGAACATAAATAATACTAATTGAGTGATGAGAAGCTAACTTTCAAAAACTAACGAGAAAGATTAAAATGATCTACACTTTAGAGTTTTTAGAACTTACAGTTTTTACTTTAGATTGATTTCTTAAAGTTTTTCCTTTAGATTGATTTCTTAAAGTTCTCAGTAAAGTACAGAGATTGGATTGGATTGGATTGGATTAAAAAGATTGGATTAAAGTTTTCAAAATGTTTCAAGATTCCCATTACAGCAATTGGTTATCGTTTGCTTACAGATGATAGATCAACATGATGAACTGACTATTTCTAAAGAGAAATAGCCGGTTAGCCTAGGGAAAGCTTTTATGTACAAAAATGCAAATCTGGGTCAGAAAAGTCTCGGATTTATTTAGAAAAAATAGAAGTTAGTCTCGAATTTAGAAGCCAGGTCAGCTAATCTGGCCTCTGGACAGGACTGGACAGGCCTAATCTGACTAACGTAGGGTCCAGTTGAAATGTCACGTCAAGATCTAGGTTCTGACTGTCTGTTATCTCGGCTCTAGGACTCTGTTTGAACAGCACTGTTGTTAGACGTTTGATGGTTGATGAGTTTACAGTTTATTTCACTGACCCACGACAAGCTGCTCTAGAATCCACTTCAGATTTAGATCTAGAATAAGGCATAAGGCTCTACTCTGGCGGCAATGGGCTACGACTAGCTGTAGCTCATTGGCAGAGCGTTCGCCCGGCGTCGATCATGTTTTGTATTCCCAGATTCAACCCATAAAAGAACTGACGTGTTCAACGAGAGCAAGCAAGATGTGACTTCTGTCACCTTAACTTAAGCTTAACTTAATTGCCTTTTGTTCTCGTTTTAACGTTTGAACAATTTCAACAATTCTCTTTTGAACAATTTCAAAATTCGGCTTTGTGTATTCCCAAAATTTTGTACTGTTTTCCAACGACCACCCAGAAAAATCATGCAAAATGTCTCGAAAAAGCGTGAAAAAAATCTCTCGACTAAAGCGATTCGTGGAGAAGATCTCAACACACAAATTTTTCACAAATCGGTGAGGAAAGAAAAAGCCAAGAGAGAAGCGGCACACGCAAAGTCTTCTTCAACACTTTCCTCGATTTTTTTCACTCGAAATCGACAGGTCAAATACACATCTCCTTTCCCAAGATCCCTTTTTTTCATGTTATCCCTTGAAACACTCGCCATTCCAATCCTTTTTTTTTCTCTTCTGATATTTGATCACTTTCTTTTGCTAGCTTTTGATTTTATAGAGCAACGATGATCTTTTAAAGGTGATGTTTTAAAGATGATGTTTTAAAGATGATCTTATAAAGATGATCTTATAAAGATGATCTTTTAAAGTTGATCTTTTAAAGATGATGTTTTAAAGATGATCTTATAAAGATGATCTTATAAAGATGATCTTATAAAGATGATCTTATAAAGATGATCTTATAAAGATGAATCTTTTAAAGATGAATCTTTTAAAGATGATCTTTCTTTTCGTTTTGTGATTTAAATTTTTGATCTTCTTTTATGTATAGTTTAGTTTTAGACTAGTAATGGAGTACTGAAGTAGTGTAATCTTTAGTGGTACTGTTAAAGTAATGTATTGCTATTGGTACTTTACTGGTAATTGATACAATGCCAGTGACAATACTACTGCACTCAGGCATAAAAAAAAACTTTGATCCTCGGAAGTAATCCGCAGTTTCTTTTACAATTTACCTAATAGTTTACTTTATTTACTTTCTAACTTTAAAAAAGTTGTACAATTCTGAAACGTTTTTTTCTGAAAACCTCATAAACTCTATTCTTTTCCAAACATCAAGCTTTCCGAGCTTCTATTTCTGAATTCATTTTGTTTCCTTTAGCCTTTCAACCATCAGAAAATCGATTGATTGTTGAAGTGAAAAGATCCAAATCCAATTTCTCCAAATCAAGGATGTACCCCACGATTCCCAATCGAGATTCTCCATCTTTTGATTCTCAAATTGGCCTCTGCAACGGAGAGGCCCGAGAGGAAACAAATCAAAAATGTGATCGATTCTCGAACTTTATCGGACATCCAAGAGCTGATTCTTTGCCCTTGCCTAGACTCAATTCGATTGGATCAAGTAGAGGATTGCAAAAAAACAATGCAAATGGATGGCCACCAATTAGCGCACAAAAAAATGTGCAGCAACCGAGGCGACCATCGTTGCCACCGAATAGGTTTGCTTTTTTTTTTTTCGATCTTTGCATCTTTAAGCTCATTCTTTTCACTTCTAAAAGAACTTGCTCTTTAGTGTACTTTGTGATTTGAAACGATTTCGTGTCAAGAGAACTTGAGTACAAAGAGCACAAGAAAAAACTGTATTGATACTGAGATATGGTACTGTAAAAGTACTGTAGAAGACTGTAGGATACTGTAAAAGTACTGTAGAGTACTGTAGAAGACTGTAGAAGACTAGTTCAGATCGTAAACTTTAGGTTTAACCAATCAAAGCCTGACCTGAGGTCCTAGATCGACCTAGATCAACCTAGATCGACCTAGATCGACCTAGATCGACCTAGATTGACCTAGATCGATCTAGATCGACTTAGATCGATCTAGATCGACTTAGATCGACCCAGATCAACCTAGATCAACCTAGATCAACCTAGATCGACCTAGATCGACCTAGATCAACCTAGATCAACCTAGATCGACCTAGATCAACCTAGATCGACCTAGATCAACCTAGATCGACCTAGATCGACCCAGATCAACCTAGATCGAAAATCTAGTATTCAAAACTTGACTATATATTGTTTTCTTGTTCTCGTACTTGAAATGATATAATTATATTATTGTAAAAAAGCTAGATTTAAGAATATTTAAATAAATAAGCTAGTTTTTATTTTTCTCCTTAATTTCCCTAATCATTTTGATAATTCTGATAATTGAAATGATTGTGATCATTTGCACATCTCCAGAGGCCTCTCCCATATCCACGCGTTCATCCTCAGAAAACTTCCCCAAGGCGAGGCAAAGGAAACATTTCTCAAGGTAAACAAAAAGAATTTCTCAATTTCTCAAAGCTCAATCCCTTTCAAGGAAATTATCGACTATGATACCCCGGAAGCGGAAAGATTGAGAAAAGAAGAAGAAGAAAGGCGAGCATTGAGAAGATTATCCAATGGATCACTCGGTTCTTCATCGTCGAATGTAAAAATTATTAGATTTATCGCTTTCGATCGCACAATCACCAACACCAATGTTAACTGATGGCTTAAAAAGATTCACAGTTTTTACTTGGCTTTAAAAAAACAGTTTTAAACACTCTTTATCACATTGTGAAATAGAAAATCTAATAGAAGTTTCGAGAAAAGTTTCGAATTTGTAGTTTAAGACTTGATTGTTGTTTTTTTCTTATTTCTAACTCACAAAGAATCGAATCGAATTAGTTGATGTAGATCTGCTGATGTTGATCATGTAGTTATGATGATGTAGATCTGCTGATCTGTTGATGTAGATCTGCTGATGCTGATGATGTAGATCTGCTGGTCTGCTGATGATGTAGATCTGCTGATCTGTTGATGTAGATCTGCTCGTCTGCTGATGATGTAGATCTGCTGATCTGCTGATGCTGATGATGTAGATCTGCTGATCTGCTGATGATGTAGATCTGTTGATCTGCTGATGTAGATCAATGAGATCTTATCTACCAAATTTGATTCCTTTAGAGATTTCTTCTAAAAAAGATCAATGAAGAGAATGAGAGTTCTTCGGTAGGACAATGCATGGCTTGAGGTTTTCAAAGTTTTTGCACAAATATTAGTTCAGATTTATCTTATGATTTGTTTTTTGTTCAAAGGTTTGTTTGAGTGGGTTTTTTGTTCGAAGAATGGTTTAGTTTTTTTTGATTTTATTAAAAAAACTAAGCCATAATAGTTTTTCTTTTAAAATTATAAATTAAAGATTTTGAACAAGTCAAATAGTTTATCATCTAAAGATTTGTAAACAAAATGATTTGATTTTAATTTTTCAAATTCTTGACTAATCGATTTTTCTTTTTCCTTTTTTCTTCAGAACTTTTCAGGTTTTCTAGATGATTACAGAAACATGTCAATTCCCAATTTCTTTTCAAGAAAATGATGGAAGTTTTCACCGCTAAACTTCTTAAAATACTATTGCCGTATTTTCTCTAATAGTGGTGACCCCGGCGAGCCGAGTTGATCACTATTTTACGGTTTCCAAGTTCTTCACAGAAGCTCAACACTCTAATCCCTCACTAGATCTCATCGTGAGCTACATTTTCCGACCCCACATCGATAGGTTCTGATAAGCGGTTCTCGAGATTTCGATCAATTTAGACGACCCTTAGGGAAAATACAGCACCCATTTTTTTTCCGTGACATCAAACAAGCTGTATTCAAGGATTCAATCACAAACTAGTCTGTTCTCTCCTAACTAATCTGTTCCACGTAAACGCATCAAATTTGACTATTGTATTCTTTCTAATAGTAGTGCCGAGCCGAGTTGATCACTATTTTACGGTCTCCAAGTTCTTCACAGAAGCTCAACTCTCAAATCCCCCACTAGATCTCATCGTCAGCTACATTTTCCGACCACACATCGATAGGTTCTGATAAGCCGTTCTCGAGATTTCGATCAATTGAGACGACGCTTAGGGTGCACTACTATTAAATAAAATACTATTAAATCATATTTGTAAAAGTTCAAAACTAGATTCTGAAGGATCAAGGTCAAAAAAAGTAGTCAACGACATGAATCGATCGATCGACAAAGAGAAAACGATTTTACTTCTCCATGAAAGATATTTAATTCTTTGAAATGTTAATTGACAATCAATTTTCTAGCCAATCCCTCATTTTTCCTAAAAAAAAACACAAATTCTCAAGAAACTTAGGGTGATGAGTTTAGCGGGTGAAAAGTGTGAGTGGAGAGATGCGATAGGAGATCCTACTTTCCCAGTTTCTCTTCATTCTTTCTTCTTCTCCTTCTTCTTCTCCTTCTTCTTCTTCTTTTCTTTCTTTTTTTCTTCTTCTTCTTCTTCTTCTTCTTCTTCTTCTTCTTCTTCTTCTTCTTCTTCCTCCTCCTCTCTCTTCTCCTTCTTCTTCTTTTCTTCAAATTTTTGTATGTGCACCTCTCGAATCGACCTTTTCCGAAATAAAAAAAAGAGAGAACGGAAAAGATTTTCTAGAAAAGAAAAAAGGGACACAGTTCTCAAGGATATGCGTGGGCCTTTTCCCCCAATAGCTTTAGTGAGAAGTGCTTTTTCTTTAAGAATACCAAGGGAGATTTAGAGATAAAAGAAACTCCTTTCTTAATATTCTTATCCTTTTTTTTTCCACTCATAAGACATTATTCATCGATTGGTTCGAGCAATTGATTGAGAAATTGATTGAGAATGAATATAGCTTATTTAGAATATAGTTTTGAATATGAATATAGCTTTCATAGCTTTCATAGCTTTCATAGTTTTCAAGCTTTTTCTCTTTTTAGTTGATTGTTTACAGTTTAGATTGAAAATTTGAAGATATTCAGCTGACTAACTGAGTATCTAGACATTACCCTAGACATATCTAGACATACCTAGACATATCTAGACATCTAGACAGCTAAAAGACATTAAAAACTGTCTACCATAATGTCTAGCATCATTTTCATTAATCCTTTTAATCCTTTTAATCATTTTGATCATTTTGATTTTGAAACGGAGAAACAGAGCTGACTCAAGCCTGTTCAATGCTTTGCTTAGCTTCAAAGCTTGCTTAGCTTCAAAGCTTGCTTAGCTTCAAAGCTTGCCTAGCTTCAAAGCTTGCTTAGCTTCAAAGCTTGCCTAGCTTCAAAGCTTGCTTATCTTCAAAGCTTGCTTAGCTTCAAAGCTTTGCTTAGCTTCAAAGCTTGCTTAGCTTCAAAGCTTTGCTTAGCTTCAATGCTTTGCTTAGCTTCAAAGCTTGCTTAGCTTCAATGCTTCGCTTAGCTTCAATGCTTGCTTAGCTTCAAAGCTTACTTTCATTTCAGATTATTTAATTCCAGATTTCTAACGGCTTAGATCATATAATTCTTATAGCTTAGATTTCTTATATCACTGTGGAATAGTTTAAATAATAAAAAGAAAAGCAAACCTACCCCAGTTCTAGATTCTAAATAAGTCATTTCTTAAATTTGTAAACTTGCTTTTTAACTTTTTAATTCAAAATTCTGATTCGGACTTTTTGAATCGATCAATATGATCAATTGGAACGGGCTAGATGAAAAAAAAAACAACAAACTGTAGTGGTCAACAAATTTGCCGAGAGCCTGGGATCACTCTGGTGGATGGGCCTTCCACCGTCCGTCTCTCCCGCTTCTCTCCCCTTCTCTCCCTTCCTCTTCCCTTCCCTCCCTTCCTCTTCCCTTCTCTCCCCTTCTCCCCTTCCCTCCCTTCCTCTTCCCTTCCCTCCCTTCCTCTTCCCTTCTCTCCCCTTCTCCCCTTCCCTCCCTTCCCCTCATCCCTCTCAATCTTTGCCCCATCTCGGTTTGGGCACTTTTTTATGTTCGCAACTACTCATCGCTCGGGAGTTCTTCCTTTTCTTCTTTTTTTTCTGCAGATTTTTCGGGATTCATTCGAATCCATCTCGATCTTCTTCACTTCTTCTTCACTTCTTCGTCAACCCACACACTTTTTCGAATAAACATCGATTTCTCTGACAATTCCTAATTTGGATTCAATCTTTAACGAACTTGGATTCAAACTTTATCCTCAAAAAATCTCTATCCCCAATTCTCTCATTTCATTTTGAATTTTTGATCAATTTCTAAACTGTTTATCTAATTGATGAATGAATAAATCAATAAACAGATCAATAATTGATCTGTTTTTCCACCCGTCTAATCTTGAATGAGAACTGTACTTGCACTGAACTCAAAACTGTCTCCTCACAACCATTGGTCAAGTCTCACTTTTTGTCTTGGCCTTTCGGATTGCTTTATTCCCTTACAAACTTGACAAAATGGACTTGTTATGTTGAAATGAAAGCTTTGTTAGACTTTGAAACTCTTCTCTTTCAAAGCTTTGTTAGACTTGAAACTCTTCTCTTTCAAAGCTTTGTTAGACTTGAAACTCTTCTCTTTCAAAGCTCTGTTAGACTTGAAACTCTTCTCTCTCAAATCTCTTGGATGAAAATCTTTGAGGAAAATGATCGGAAAATGATCTAAGACTAAATGTAACAAAAAGCTAAATTCGTGAGTGTGTCTGTTTGTGAATGAATGTCAACGAGGATCAATCGATATCGATCAAACGATCTCATCATTTCTCCCAAATTCAGATCTCTGAAGTCGATGGAATCCCATCATCGGGCCTCACGATTCCCGACTCGATTCGTCGCGAGTTAATGGGTGAAATGGACAATTCGGAGGATGAAGTCTCCGAGTCCATCTCCGAATTGCCATCCTTTGCTGGGGGTGCGCCGAAACCAGCTCGCAAGCGTGTCTCCACTACGCAAGAGGTTTGTTTCTAGAGTTGATCTTAACCAAGATCTTTAACCAAGGATCGGTTATGTTTTGGGAAACGGGAAACTCTGAAAGTTGATCTCTCGATTTCCAAAATTTGCCCGTTCAGAAAATGAGAAGATTCAAAATCTCCGTTTTTCTTTCTTTTCTTTTCTTCAATCTTTCTTCATGCTGAACAACATTTCTAATAAAAGATCTTTCTTCAATCTTTAGATCTATCCAAAGATCTTTAGATGATCCTTTCAATCAAATCTTTGATTGAATATCTTTCCTTTCCCCTTTGCACAGTGATTGCAGTTATCGGAGAGTTCGTCGGTTGGTGGCGGCAATCGGTACAACTTTCGAGATCTTCTCAAATCGCGCAACAGTATGCCTGTAAGAGAGAAAAGTGTAGAGAGAGAGAGAGAGAGCCCTTTCGTGGATCCCTTCTTCTCAAATCTGAGAGAGAGAAGGGATCTATCTATCCCCCGTGTACTGCACAGACTTTACCTCACCTTCCCTTATCCTTTCCTCAATTTTGACCCCAATTTTTGGATTAAAACGTACCCTGAAGATGGAATGCGTTTTCTAAAATGAATACTTGAGAAAAATCTCTCAAAAAAAATGAACAAGGACTTATTTTACTTCTCTTAAAAGATATTCAGCTGTTTGCTTTCAGCTTAAAAGATATTCAGCTGTCAATAGGATTATTCGTAGTTAATCGACAAAAAACATCGATTTAACCAAATAAAGTTACTGAAAAAATGACTCGAATAACTTTACTCGCAAGGAAAACACTCTAGATCTCTAGATCTCAAGACCTTTACAGCACTTGCAAATCCTGCTTTTGCAGCTTTCAAGTACTATAGCTTGTGATTGACTGATTGACTTAAATTAGATAGAAAGTCGAGTGAAGCTAAGCTAAGCTTGAGTGAAGCTAAGCTAAGCTTGAGTGAAGCTAAGCTAAGCTTGAGTGAAGCTAAGCTAAGCTTGAGTGAAGCTAAGCTAAGCTTGAGTGAAGCTAAGCTAAGCTTGAGTGAAGCTAAGCTAAGCTTGAGTGAAGCTAAGCTAAGCTTGAGTGAAGCTAAGCTAAGCTTGAGTGAAGCTAAGCTAAGCTTGAGTGAAGCTAAGCTAAGCTTGAGTGAAGCTAAGCTAAGCTTGAGTGAAGCTAAGCTAAGCTTGAGTGAAGCTAAGCTAAGCTAAGCTAATAATTTACGTTTGCAAATGAGCTTCTTTTCCCCTTTTTCTTATTCGATATTTACCCAAGCAAAGATCTTCTCTTTTTTGCCCATTTCTCTTTCTCGAAAAGATCCATTGCACTCAAGAAAAAAAGTCGTCGTTTTTGTCCCATCAACATCTTAAAATAGTACCTAAAAGACAATTTTTAACTTAGTTTTTCGGGTAACCTTCAAAAAATGTCTAAACATAATCTTTCTGGTGCAATAAGCTCTTCATTTTGGTGATGATTTGGTTAAAATGGTTGCCTGAGTGCAACAGAAAGAGTGTGTTTACATTTTAAGTACAAAGTAAAGAATAAAGAACAATATTGTCTAAAGAAAAAGTAGCCTCTAGATTGTCTAGATAGCCTCTAGATTGTCTAGATAGGCTCTAGATTGTCTAGATAACCTCTAGATTGTCTAGACAGCCTCTAGATTGTCTAGATAGCCTCTAGATTGTCTAGATAGCCTCTAGATTGTCTAGATAGGCTCTAGATTGTCTAGATAACCTCTAGATTGTCTAGACAGCCTCTAGATTGTCTAGATAGCCTCTAGATTGTCTAGATAGCCTCTAGATTGTCTAGATAGGCTCTAGATTGTCTAGATAGGCTCTAGATTGTCTAGATAACCTCTAGATTGTCTAGACAGCCTCTAGATTGTCTAGATAGCCTCTAGATTGTCTTTAGATTGATAGATAAATAATAAACCAATAACCAATAAACAATAAACAATAACAAGTTAAGGTTTAACATTGATAAACGCTATCGTTATCAGTTGGGCAGATCAAAAACTTAACGGCTGCGGGACTCGAACCCGTCACCTTTCGCTTATCGATGAAATGTGCTAACCATTACACCAAAATGTACTCGATTCCCGTTACACTAAAGGCAACTAACTTATCGATTCATTTAAATAAGTCAATAAGCGTTGAAAGCTTCACAACAACTCATTCCATAGAATCCACAAATTTACAATAACGCTTTTCGAGTCTAATAGAAGCTGATTAAGTAATTGAATAGATACAATTGAATAGATATGTAGATACTGATTAAGTAATTGAATAGATACAGTCCTGGACAATGAAATATGATATTTGAAAAACGATCGTCACTTTCGCGCGTCTATAACTCCCATGTCTTTACCGTATTTCTAAATATTAATATTACCATTATGTAGCCCTTGAAAAGAGCTTTCAGAAAATGTATAACACTAATAGTTTAAACTCAAAGACAAAGAAGTTACAGACGTGCGAACGTGACGATCTTTTTTCAAATATCATATTTCATTGTCCAGTACTGTATATAATGTTATCTATAATCTATAAATCAAATCTACAGTTTAAGTACTTTAGTAAGTACAAAGTAAGTACTTACGTACAATGATATAAAATTCAATGATTTCCCCGAACATTTCCCCTAAGTACCCGATTTCCCCGTCATTTCCCAGACGTCATTCGTCATTTCGAATCCACAAAACGATCCTCACCATCATGCATCACCTCAAAAAATCTTTCAGTTCGCTTCCCTATTTTTGCATGCATCAGTTTCATGTCCAGTTCAAAAATTGCTAAACATAACCTTTTCTAGTGCACTAAGCTTTTCATTTTGGTGATGATTTGATTAAAATGATTGCCTGAGTGCAACCATTTTAACCAAATCAGTTGTCCAGTTTTGTATCATTTATTTCTCATTTAAATCCAAAAAAACGTTTGTCTCTTTTTTTTCCGTCTTTTCATGTTCACACATGTTTTATTTTGTGTGTGTGAATGTGTGCTTTCTCATTTCAGCCACCAGCCGAAGAGAAGGCTATGTACCAGAATGCGCGCGATCTCCTCAAAAAGAGAACCGCCGACTCGTCGAAATCCACTGAAGCTGCGCAGGTACTTCGTTTGACTAAAAGCTAAAACCTTTAAACAGTTACGATAGGTTTTCACCTCAAACCTACACAATCCTTAGAGCTATCTTAATCAGTTAGAGGAATTCTTAAAGTTACAGTTACAGTTACAGTAAGCTACAAGAGTTTTTTAAGCTAATCAAAGCTACAAAAAGACTACAGTACTTTTTAGATATCTAGCTAAAAAGAATTTCTTGTCTGATTTCCAGAAAAAGACTCTTCGCCCGGTTGAAAAGCCCAAAGATGATCCACATGAATTCAAAAAGCCTGCACTAAAAAAAGTCGCAAAAAAAGAGCAAAGTGAAGGAGTTGAGGGAACATTGGAAAGGACACAATTGAAGAAAGTCGAGAGAAGAGCTGATAGTGGAGTGTCGGATCATGAAGGAGGATCGAGGAGGTCGTCGATGGGAGAGGATGTGTCTGAGGGAAAGAGTCGAGCCGGCACATCCACCACAAGAGCCAAGACGCCGGCAAAGGACGGAAATGATCCGGATAATGTAGGGTTTGATTTTCGATTGTTTTTTGGAGATGAGTTGATGTGTGCATCGTGATCATTAATATATTGTGTGACTAATAATCGATCTAGAGAAGTAGTACTTGTAGATAGAAGATTAGATAAGTAGTACTTATAGATAGATAAGATCTAGAGAAGTAGTACTTAAAGATAGATATGATCTAGATAAGTATACTTATAGATAGGTAAGATCTAGAGAAGTAGTGCTTAAAGATAGATAAGATCTAGATAAGTATACTTATAGATAGATAAGATCTAGAGAAGTAGTGCTTAAAGATAGATAAGATCTAGATAAGTATACTTATAGATAGATATGATCTAGATAAGTATATTTAAAGATAGATATGATCTAGATAAGTATACTTATAGATAGATAAGATCTAGAGAAGTAGTGCTTAAAGATAGATATGATCTAGATAAGTATATTTAAAGATAGATATGATCTAGATAAGTATACTTATAAATAGATATGATCTAGAGAAGTAGTACTTAAAGATAGATAAGTACTACTTCTCTAAATCTTATCTATCTTTAAGTATACTTATCTAGATCTTTCCTATCTTTAAGTACTACTTATAGATAGATAAGATCTATGTAAGTAGTACTGTAGATTTAGTATATGTAATCTATAGCACCAAATACTATCTATAATACTGTAGAATAGGAAATACTATGGATTTATATCTGATCTGTTATTCTAAGCATATCCACAAGCTCTATAACTTTTTAGTAAGTCTACCTTCTTAGTAATTAACGATTATAACTTAAGAGTAGAATCGGTTAGCAGTTAGCAACTCTTGCTAGTTAGCAACTCTTGCTAGTTAGCAACTCTGGCTAGTTATCAACTCTTGCTAGTTAGCAACTCTTGCTAGTTAGCAACTCTGGCTAGTTAGCAACTCTCGCCAGCAATATCTCTAGCTAAATATTCATCAAATTCAGTTTTTCTAATCATTAACAACTTTTTAGATTGATATCTATTTTCGAGTGTTGGCTGTGTAACACTAACAAACAAAAAATGAGGATCAAAAGAACAAAACATCAACAAAAGGTGTCCATTTTTCCCCTTCAATTCTTTTCCTTTCTGTCTTTCATCTTTTTTTTTTTTGAAACAAAAATCTCTATACCGTAATCCTTCTATAAGAAATATTAGCATTGAGCCAAGAGAAGCATTGCGGATCAAATTTTGATCAAATTCTGATCAAAATTTGCTTCTAATTTCAATTTTTATAAACTGTAACGTACTTTTAATCATGTATTGTCAATGAATCAATAATTTCATTAGAGAATTACGGTATCTTTCCCCTAGCATGTTTTATTCTATTTTTCTTTTCTCCATTCTAGGCGAAAGATCAACAAGTTGGCGTGAAAAAGACGAGTTTCGCTGATGGAACGAAACCCGAACAAGTGACACCGGTAGATTGCCTGAAAAATAACTTTATTCTGAGAAAATCTAAAGTTATTTTCCAGTTTTACTGTTGATTAACGTTTATGCAAGTGCTGTGAACTAATAGAAGCTTTTGTTAAAGAATTTTTAGAGATATTAAGAATTTCAGCAAAAAAAAATTCCAGCCAAAATCTCTGCTGAAGACTCGACAAAAAGAGCAAGCTAAAGAAGCGATTGAGGATCCGAAAAAGAGCTTAAAAGGGAGGCAAGTTGGGCGAAAAGAAGAGACGAATCCGTTAGAAGGAGTGAAACTGAAGAAAGTGGCACAGAAACCGAAAGATGATGATAGTCCCGGACAATCGAGGAGAGGATCCATGTGGGAGAGCGACTCGTCCCGTCGCGATTCTGTCGTAAGAGAATGTGACTTCTCCATCCTCAAATCATCAACCTGTCCCCTGCATGCTTTTGAGACAAGTTTTAAATCAAAAGCTGATGATTTTGATCTATGAAAATCATCAGCTTCTATCAAAATCATCAGCTTTTGATCATCAGCTTTTGATCATCAGCTTTTGATCATCAGCTTTTGATCATCAGCTTTTGATCATCAGCTTTTGATCATCAGCTTTTGATCATCAGCTTTTGATCAAAACTTGGACTCCATCCACTAATCCCTTTCAGCTTCCAGATAACACACTTTTATTGTTTTATCAATTTTGATTCCTTAATTTTCAGCGTCGTGGTTCTGTAGATCTTCGTCGTGAATCGATCTCGGAACTCCTTGAGAAAGCTCAAACCCCGCTAAAAGCTGTTGGTGGAGCGGGAACTCCGGCGAAAATTGTCGATTTTGACGAAAGTGTCACTGTTCTTGAGAGTGGGTTTTCAAATTATAATTCAATTTCAAATTTCACCAAACACAACTGGAATTCAGTTGTTTTAAATCTTTTATTGTAGGCTTGAAAGGCTAAAGAATGGAAGTATCGCTGTGAGTGAAATTGACTCCTCTTTTGAATATTTTACTTTCAATTTACTGTGAGTCAAGCAAGCAAGCTTGTTGTTAAACTTAGAGCCAGAGTCGGACGGTTCTTTTGGCTGCGAATCCAAAAAATGTCACCCCCTGGGATTCGAACCCGCGGCCTCTTGCTACCACGACCACTTACCAGGCCAACGCCCTACCAATGAGCCACATCGACAGGGTTCCCCTACCGTCAGGCTGGGAACTTATCCCTTACTTCAGAGTTAAACCGGTAGCCAAACGAAACTTGAACTGTTCTTCTAAAATAGGTTTTTAGGAATCATTTTTAAAACAGTTTTTCTTTTAAAATAAGTTCTTAAGCATTTGTTTCAAATCTAATCTTTTAAAGCTATTATTACTCATAAATTTTACAACATTATATCCTCTTTTTTGATGTTTTCGACAGTTTTTTTTCGACAGTTTTCAAAACGACAACTTTTTCAAGACGTCTCCGTCTTCACAAACAACAAAAAAACGTTCAAAAATGCTACAAAGAAAATTTTGTAGTTAATTAGTAAGATAAGAAATCGATTATGAATATAGAATCTATTATTTCATGATTTTTTTAGATGAAACCGCAGCCCTGACCATCAAAATCGAAGGCGACCCGGTGCCAAAGATTACATGGAAAAAGGGAATGAGAGAGGTTTGAAAAGGGAAATTTTTCAGAAGCTATTTCAGAAGCAGAACTTTAAAAGAAGATTTTTTTATTGTATCTATTCAAAAGACGGTTATTATGTAGTTTTGTCATTTCTGAATCTCTTAGGTGATGAGCGGTGGCCGTTTCAAGCAGCATACGAATGGAGAGGAGAACAAAGCGCATCTAGCGATCAGCAAGTGTCGAAATCAAGATGATGGAGTCTATTCGTGAGTGGATTTGATAGTTTAGATGTTTAATATTCTCGTGATACTTCAAATCAGATAAAGTGTTTGATTTTCCAGTGTGACTGTCTCGAATTCACACGGTAGCGATACCGCCGAGATTAAACTCCTCGTCACCACCGACAACCAAGGAGGAGCAGATTTTAGGGCAATGCTCAAAAGAAGGTTTGTAATGTTTGTAATGTTTGCAATCGTAATGATTACTTTAGATATTTTAGTTTTTAAAGGCAAACTTTTTTTAGAGATACCTCAAGTGGTCAACAAAAAGAGCCCAAAGAGAAAGAGTTGAGCGAGGCTGAGAGGAGACAGGTAAATCACAAATTTTTTGATATAAAATTATATATATGCTTTATTCAGTTGAATAGCGACAAAAACAAAATCACAATAATTATCCGGGACACCACTCAAAACACACCCAAAAGATAAATAGATACCTCAAGAAAGAATCACAGAGCAGTCAAATCAATTGCCGAAATATCTAGCCTAGCCTTTAGGCTTTAAATCTAGCCAAGGTGGAAATATCGCGAACATCAGGGGGTAAAATGTTCCAGAATTTAATAACTCGATTAAAAAAAGAAACTGTGGGGGCTTTTAGAGGAAACGCAAGGTTGGCGTAAGGCGGAAGAAAAACGAATTTTAAAATTGAAGCGCTTTTTGAGAGGATTTATATTTAAATAGATTTAATAAGTAATTAATAAATAGATTTTATATATATTATATAATAAAAGAATCATTTTAGAGTTTGTTCCCGGGCAAAAAGGTTGAGCAATGGGTGGAACCGTTGAAAGATAAACGGGTTCAGCAATTGGTGAGCTTTTTGAATTTATTTAGATACTCAGCTATTGGAACTCAGCTATTAAATATTGATTTTTCTTTTTAGACAGACAAAATTGTCGAATGGAAGTGCACGTACTCGCGGACGAACGCGAAAATTCGCTGGTACAAAGATAGGAAAGAAATATTCTCTGGTGGATTGAAATATAAGGTAAAAATAAAAGAATCTACCGTAAATACTGTAATAGTACCCCCACCCCCATAATGACGGTGCGGAGTGTTGCGTAGTCTAGCTTTGAACGAGTTTTTCTCGACACTGGTTTATGCTACAATGCGGGCTTAGATATCAAAAAATAGCTGAAATTCAGGGCTATTTTTTGATACCTTCGCGCGCATTGTAGCATAAACCAGTGTCGAGAAAAACGCGTCCAAAGCTAGACTACGCTACGCTCCGAACTGTACGAGGGGAGTGGGGTACTATTGTTAGTACTATTACAGTATTTACGGTAGTTGTAAATCTAGATCTATAGACAATAAAACGTTTATTGGATTTAGATTGTGATCGAAAAAGCCACGTGCACACTCATCATCAATAATCCCGAAGTCGACGACTCGGGCATGTACACTTGTGAGGCGAATGGAGTAAAAACAAATGCGAATCTCGTTGTTGACGGTTCGTTATATTGATTTACTTAAAAATTAAATAATATTTTATGCTTTCAGAGCCTCCAATGAAGTACAGTTTCGTGAATCCACTGCCAAACACACAAGAAGTTTATCGCACAAAGAATGGAGTCCTCACGTGTAAAGTCAACTCAGCAAGAGCACCGTTGAAATGGTTGAGAAATGGGAAACCGATTGATGAGTAATTTTTTTTGTTAAATTTGATTATTCATTGCTTTTGAGTACTCTAGGATTACTTTTTCATAGGGAATCTGTTTCATAGAGAATCTGTTTCATAGAGAATCTGTTTCAGAAATGATAAGCGCTTTACGATTGACAAGGATCCTGTGGGTCGTTGCACGGTGACCATTCACGAGATTGTGCAAGAAGATGAGGGAGAATGGACAGCGTACATCAGTGAGGATGTACTATCGAAAGTTCAAGTTTATGTTGAAGGTAGAGTTGATTTTGATTGATTTTAAAACATTGACGGTCTAGAGCCACGAGACACTTTCGTGATCCCATTGAAATCGCAAAGAGTTGACGAGAGAGGGACAACATTTCTTGAATGTGATGTCAATGATAAAGATGCTGATGTACAGTGGTGGCACGATGGAGTCAAGGTAGCTTTAGGCTCACAATACTTTCTCGTTACTCTATCTATCAATTTTTTTAGACTACAATAGCCTTTACAATTACTCTATCTTCTAGCTGTAAAATTTCCATTCAAATCAGTCTAGCCTATTTTCTGTACCCTATCCGTTTCTATTAGAGCAATTGGAGGGATTTTCTTTGAGACGAACTTATAGGACTCAAGTTACTGTAACAAAATAAAAGACAATTTCCTCTATTCTAGATCGAACCTGATGGTAAACATTTCAAAGAAGAGCGTACGATGAGAAAGCGTCGTTTGCATGTGATTGGAGCAAGGATTGAGGATCATGGAGAGTATAAATGTAAAACAAAAGATGACACGACGATGGCTCAACTCATTGTTGAACGTGGGTTTTGATCGTTGGCTGGTTTAGCTTTCAATGAAAACAGCTACAAGCTTTACCTTAAAGTACACCTGATTTCCTTTCCAAAAAAGCTATCGCAATCCCATTAAGCTTACGCGATTAGCTTTTCTTGTGATTCTTTGTGATTTCTAAATTGAAAGACAAAGACAAGAAAGACAGAAATCGGAGTACTTTTTAGAAAACAACATAATCATAAAGAATTATTTACTTTTTAGCCCTTAACAAGTTCATCGTTCCTCTCAAAGACATGGATGTAATCGAGAAAGAAACAGTTGATCTCCGTTGTGAGACAAAGGACACAAAAACGCCTGGCACATGGTTTGTTAAAGGAAAGGTTTGTCAATTTCTTTAGAGAAATCCTCAAAATTGCAAAATCTAGCCAATTTCATCAAAACCTGGTGGGAAATTCGAGTGTAGCTCGAGAAATGGAGTGCACACATTGAAGATCTCGAAGATCGAGATGGGTGAAGGGGACACGTACGAGTTTGATCAGGTTTGTGATTACAGTAGAGGTCATGGTCTTCTTCTTCTTTAGGCTGGCCTTCGAGGCTCTTGCCTAGTCACAGTTGGTGAGGGTGAGAAGAAACCTGTCTTTAACTGGAAACCAAAAACAATCGAGGCGAAAGCTGGAGAACCGTGTGAAGTAAGGAAGTTTGATATTAGCTTTTAAATCACCATTTAAATCACCATTTAATCTTAACAATGCTTTTTTTCTTATCAACTATTTCTAGGTGAGAATCCCGTTCTCAATCAAGGGACAGCGAAATTTACCGAAAATTCGCTTACTAAAGAATGGACAACCCGTCGATTTGGATAAAATGAGAGATCTTGTTGAGGTGAGAAATGCAAATTATTGGATTCAATGATAAATAAATTCTAGGTGGTGATTGAAGGCGACGAGGCAGTGATCAAATGGAAGAACCCAGCGCTCGCCGATGCCGGGAAATGGGCTCTCGAGTTGGGGAATTCAGCTGGAACAGCCCTTGCACCATTTGAGCTCTATGTTAAGGTATTATTACTTAAATAGAAAGTTATATAATTTGTTTAACTTTTGAACTTTAGGATAAACCAAAGCCACCGAAAGGCCCATTGGAGACAACGAATGTTACCGCTGAGGGCTGTGATCTCAAATGGGGAGAAGGAGATAAAGGTCGGTGATTGAGATTATGGTAATGATTAGTGGATTGTATAGAGTATTGTATAGATTACGGTACTAGTACTACTTTATCTTAATAAAGTCGAATTCTAGGCGAGGAGAACCCGGCAAAAGCTTACATTGTTGAGATGCAAGAGGGACGATCGGGTCAATGGGCGAAAATTGGAGAGACAAAGGGAGCTGGTTTCAAGGTATGGTAAAGATAAGCTTAAAAATAAATGGAAATTTTTAAATTCAGGTGAAAGACCTCAAAGAACATGGCGAGTACAAGTTCCGAGTGAAAGCACTGAACGATGTCGGATTGTCCGATCCATTGACTGGAGAGACGATCCTCGCCAAGAATCCTTACAGTAAGTGATCAGCTTTTAGATTAGTTTGAATAGATTAGTTTGAATTTAATCGCTTATCCAGTTATCCAGTTGCTTTATCCCTTTTAAACTTTCAGCTGTGCCCGGAAAACCGAGAAATATGGACTTCGTCGATGTCGATAATGATCACATCACGATTGCCTGGGATCCACCAGAGGGTTGGGTTTACTGTATTCTATGTCTTCGATATACAATATATTTATGTACTATGTAGTCAATTTATGTACTATGTAATAAATTTATGTACTTAAATCATTTAGATGACGGTGGAGCACCATTAGAAGAGTATATCATTGAGAGGAGAGAGAAGAGTGAAAAGGTTTGTAAGACTAGATTCTTCTTTGGCAAAGAAGCCGCTATAGCTCAGTGGTAGAGCATCTGCCTGATAAGCAGAAAATCAAGGGCAGAAGGAGAAGGTTCAATTCCCCTTGATTCCAAATTCTTTGCCATTCATTTCTTTACATTTTTGCAGTAAGCAAGACTAATTCTAGGTCGAAAATTTGAGCTGATAAGTACGATAATTTTAAAGTTGATCTTAAAGTCAAACTGATATATACTTAAAATCAATTCTAGCTTTAAGTAAAGATCTTTAGTAGCATAATTGTTTACATATTGCTAAGAATGAAATTCTAGGATTGGAATCGTGTTGGCTCGATTGCGCATGATCCAAAAGAGGCTAAGCAGACGTTTACTGATGAACGAGTGGTGGAGGGAAAAGAGTATTATTACCGGATCAAAGCCGTCAACAAAGCCGGTCCCGGTGATCCGAATGATCATGGACGATCGGTGAAAGCAAAAGCTAAGCCAAGTACGAGAATTGTTACCAGTACACAGTTTTGTACCGGTAAGAGAAAGCTGGTCATTCTATTGTAGTTCTGATGTACTGTGCTGTTCTGATGTACTACTACGATACTTTACCACTAGCCTACTTTCCTATCTAACCCTAATTTAGGTGAGCCTCGTTTCATCAAAGGCGGCATCAAAGATCAACGCTTGAAAGTGGGTGAAACGATCAAATATGACGTGCCGATCTCTGGAGAACCGACGCCTGAAGTGAGCTGGTTGGTGAATGGAAAACCACTGAAATCGGGCGGTCGAGTGAAGATGACAACAGAAAGGGGAAGACACGTGTTAAAGGTAAGCTTTCAGATTCAATTCAGATATTTTAAGCACGATCATTTCCAGATCGAGAACGCTGAGCGCGGTGATTCGGGCAAGTTCACGATTGTGCTCAAGAATCCGTCGGGCACTTGCGAAGACTCGGCCGTGGTCACCGTTGTGGGTAGACCGGCGCCACCAGAGGGTAAGTCAAGTAATGCACTGTATTTTACCGTACTGGAATACTGTACATTATGTCGTTTTTTTAGGCCCACTTGACGTGAGTGATGTGTGCGCTGACGGAGCGACAGTCGGCTGGAATCCACCAAAAGATGGTAGAAAGTTTGGAGTTTATGGATAATAATTGAATCTAGATGGAGGAGATCCGTTGACTGGATACATTGTTGAGGCACAAGATTTGGATCAAAAGGGCAAATTTGTTGAGGTAAAATTGAGTCAAGTAGTGGTTTAGATTGAGCTGGATCCCAGATTGCAGATCAGAAGATTTTCAATGAAATCTGATTGGAGATGAGCTCAGCTATGGGTAGAATTAACCAAACCAGTGAACCAGATAATTCTCTGGAATCAAATCTAACTCAGGATTGACTTAAATTCCGTTTTTAGGTCGGCCGAGTCGACCCGGGCACCACGAATCTCAAAGTGAAAGGCCTCAAGAACAAGGGAAACTACAAGTTTAGGTAAAATCAATTGTATTATTGTTAGTAACTAGTACTGAACAATTGTATTACTGTTAATATCTAGTACTGTTTCTATGTTATCGAATCCTAAGCTTAAATGGAATCCCAAATTCCAGAGTCAAAGCCGTGAACAACGAGGGAGAATCGGAGCCACTCACTGCTGATGATTACACGACGATCAAGGTATGTGTACTTTGTGATTACAAGTAAACGCACGCTTTCTAGCGCACTGGCTTTATCGACTTTTGTTGATAGACCGTACAAAAAACGCAATTCGCTGAATTTTTACAAACTTTTGAATAAAGATCGGGATCTCCAATAGAAATCTAATAGCTACACTACTGGACAATGAAATATCATATTTGAAAAAAGATCGTCACTTTCGCGCGTCTGTAACTCCCATGTCTTTACCGTATTTCTAAATATTAATATTACCATTGTGTAGCCCTTAAAAAGAGCCTTCAGAAAATGTATAACACTAATAGTTTAAACTCAAAGACAAAGGAGTTACAGACGCGCAAAAGTGACGATCGATTTTCAAATATGATATTTCATTGTCCAGTACTGTAGATAGTTAGTTTTAGTTATAAAATTTGCAAATTAAAGCTAGATATGAATTATATATTAAAATTTGAATACAAACTCTTATCTAGGATCCGTGGGATGAACCGGGAAAACCCGGGCGTCCGATGGTCACCGACTATGACGCCGATCGGATTGATCTTGCCTGGGATCCGCCATTGGTAAGCAAATTGTTAAACTTACATTTATGTTTAACTATCATAATTATATCTAATTTCCATTCCAGAAAGACGGTGGAGCCCCAATTGAGCAATACATTGTTGAAGTGAGAGGTGGATTTGTGCTTTAAAGCCTTGAAAACTAAGATCTCTCTAGATCCGGTGACAAAAGAATGGAAAGAGATCATGAGATCACCAACGACGAATGCTTCGGTGAAAGGACTCAAGGAGGGATCTGAATATCAATTCCGAGTGAGAGCTGTGAACAAGGTAAATTTTTTTTATTCTACTACATTTAATCCAAGCTCTGACATCTTTCATTTTTTAACATTTGGAATTCTAGGGCGGCGCCGGTCAACCCTCGGAACCATCTGAGAAACAAATGGCTAAGCCGAAATTCGTCCCTGCTTGGCTGAAACACGAATGCCTTCGATCGATCACTGTGAAAGCCGGACAATCTGTGAGATGGGATGTGAAGATTGGAGGAGAACCACCACCGGATGTGAGAGAACTTTAAAATAGAATTCACGCACGAATAATGTACATACAATACACAAGCACAAGTCCTAAACATAGGGAAACAAAATATGAAAAAAGAACCGGGAGCTAGGCGGCGGGACTGAACCCTTGATCTCCCGACTAGTTCCGACTGAGATACAGGGCGCTTAGCCACTCGGCCATGGCGAAGACGATCATCCAAACAAAAAATTCTAGGTAACCTGGACAAGAGACGGAAAAGCCGTTGAGATGAACGCTCGGCTCTCGATTGAGACAAAGAAAACCGATCACACGATTCTCTGCATTTCAGCGGCAGCTCGAGGCGATATTGGAGAATATCGGTTGACAGTGAAAAACTCCTATGGAGAGGATACCGAGGCGGCAAATCTTACGGTGATTATGGAGAGCTTTTAAGATGACAAATAGCTGCTAAAGCTTATAGCTTATAGATAACAATAGCTACCAGTAATTAGGTGTTTGTTAACAATTTCTATCCGTAAACCCAATGCACCACTCAATTTTTAGGTGCTCGATCGCCCCGCGAAACCTGAGGGTCCACTTGAGGTCACCGACGTCTTCGAAGACAATTGCAATCTCGCCTGGAAACCACCAAGTCAAATTTTTTTACATAGAAATTTATCTAAACATAATCTAGATATAGATCTTAGATAGTATAATATAACTTTCAGAGGATGATGGCGGTGAGCCGATCGAGTACTACGAGGTTGAGAAGCTCGACACATCCACTGGCCGATGGGTACCGTGTGCCAAAGTGAAAGACACAAAGGTGAGATTTCTAACTACAAAAAACTAGATAAAAAGAATTTAGGCACATATTGATGGCTTGAAAAAGGGACAAACGTATCAATTCCGTGTGAAAGCCGTGAATAAAGAGGGAGCATCGGATGCGTTGAATGCTGATAAAGAGACCAAAGCGAAGAATCCGTACGATGAACCCGGAAAACCCCCGCCACCCGATATTGTTGATTGGGATTCGAACAAGGTAAATATTATTACGATCATTATGTCATCATTATGGTGGTTTATTAGAGTAATAAATGAAAATCTAGGTATCCCTTGCCTGGGAACCTCCAAGCTCTGATGGTGGTGCACCGATCACTGGCTACATCATTGAAAAGAAAAGCAAACACGGAAAAGAGTGGCAAGAGTGCGCGAAAGTGAGTTTCTGAGTTGATTTCATAAATAATCTGCCTCAAAATGAATAGATATAGTTTCTAAACAAGTTTACAATAAGATTCTAAAGCTTGTACAATTTATAGTTTACAACTGAAGCTTAATTGAAACAGTTGTTTTCAATGGATCTTTAATCACCAATTTTCTTTTAGGTTGGTCCTCAATGTGAAGCGGATGTATTGAATCTGAAAGAAGGAGAAGAATATCAGTAAGTTTACTTTTAAGTACAAATTTTTAGCGTTTAAATAACTAGAATCCACTCTAGTTATTCTAGAATTCTAAATAACAAGAAAATTTAGATTCCGGATCAAAGCTGTGAACAAAGCTGGCCCAGGAGAAGCCTCGGATCCATCACAACGTGTCACCGCTAAGCCGAGAAATCTAAAGCCATGGATTGATCGAGAGGCGATGAAGACGATCACCGTTAAAGTTGGACAAGATGTAGAATTTGATGTGCCAGTGCGTGGTGAGCCACCACCGGACAAAGTGTGGACGTTCAATGAGAAACCGATCTCTGATAAGATTCGGGTGAACAATGAGGACTATCGAACTCATTTTGTGCTGAAGGGTGCGCAAAGAGCCCAAGCTGGAAAATATACACTGACTGCAACGAACGCTAGTGGAAAAGACTCGCACACTGTCGAGGTGATCGTGCTGGGGAAACCCGGAGCACCGATGGGACCTTTGGATGTGACGGATGTGTTTGAGGATCATTGCACATTGGAATGGGCACCGCCTGAGGATGATGGTGAGTTCGTGTTGTTGGCTTAAATGCATAACTGATCCTTTCTAAACAAAAACAAAAACAATTCCCAGGTGGTTGCCCGATTGATCACTATGAGATAGAGAAAATGGATATGGCCACGGGTAGATGGGTTCCTTGTGGAAGATCGGATGGCACGACGACTCAAGTGGCGAACTTGCAACCCGGACACGAGTACAAGTTCAGAGTCAAAGCCGTTAATAAGGTAAAGATTCGATCTGCTTATCTATAAAAATTATGCTATATTTTTTCAGGAAGGAGAGTCAGAGCCGTTGACAGCAGACACGGCCATCGTCGCCAAAAATCCATATGATTTACCTGGAAAGGTTGACAAACCAGAGGTGAGGTTGAGAAAGATAAAAACTGTAAACTGATGGCTTAACGAAATTTTAGACTTGGTTACAATAGAAATTTGTTTACAGCTTGTTGATTGGGATAAAGATCATGTGGATCTTGCTTGGAAACCAGTGAATGATGATGGAGGAGCACCCATTGAAGCTTATATCATTGAGAAGAAAGATAAGAGAGGACGATGGGAAGAGGCGCTTGTTGTGCCTGGTGATGCGACAGCGGCTACGGTATAGCTTTGAATATCTAAGATCTAGATTTGAAAGATTTTGAATTAAAGATTTCGAAATCATTCTGTCCAATCTAATGAATTTCTAGATTGATGGCTTGAAAGAAGGCGAAGAATACCAATTCCGCATTAGAGCTAAAAACAAGGCTGGCAAAGGAGAAGCGTCTGATCCAACGGACACCGTTGTGGCTAAATGCAGAAATTGTAAGTGTTTTGCCGTGTACTTTGTGCTCAAAAGTGTAAATAAACTTTTAGCGCACTTGATTCAAACTTTTTCAGAAGTAGGATAACTTTAATTGTTTGTAAAAGCCTTTAAAGCAAAAACTATTCGGCTATCCAAAAGTTTTTTTTCCTTTTACGTTTCTTTCGATTTTCTTATGAAATTGTGCTTTAAATGTTTGAAATCTAAAACTCGACTCTAATAGATTTCTGAAAATGTTTTGAATAAAGATATAATATAATATCTCAATTCAGTGCCACCACACATTCATCGCGAAGACATTGAGGATCATGTTTTACGAGTGGGCGGCGCTGTTGATTTCAAGATTCACATCGATGGAGAACCGGCACCGAATGTCACCTGGACTTTCACTGGTAAGCTTTGATCAAGAAAAATCAGCTTTCTTATTATTATATCATAGGTGGATCAGTGCATGGTGCCGGCGTTCAAACAGACGATCAAGATTACCTCTCTCGTTTCTGTATCCCGAAAGCCACGCGGAAACAAAGTGGCAAGTATACAATCACTGCCACAAACGAGAATGGAACTGATTCGGTAATTTGACCAAAAAAAAAAAATTTTTAAACTTATCAAATCCTAGGTGACATTCGAAGTGAAAGTGAAAGGAAAACCCGGGAAACCGAAAGGACCGCTTGATGTAACTGATGTGTTTGAGGATCGATGCAATTTAGACTGGAAACCACCAGGTAAAAATCTTAAGCTTTACGATTGTTCTTTGTACTCAATAAATGTAAACACAGCCCTTCTGGTGCACTTTGTTCTTCACTTTTCTTGCGATTCTGACTCATTTCTGCAAGAAACTCAAACATTCAGTGCATCAGAAAGAGTGCTTTTGAGCATTGCAAGTAGACTGTAGCAGTTCTATTGGAAGTAGACTGTAGTAGTCTAGCAGTAGACACGTCCTATTGTAGGCCTACCTATTAGTAGTGCTGTAGTTTGTTTATAAGCTAAACTCTGGTAAGCATAAAGAAGAAATTCTGATTACCTATTTGTTAAAATCAAATCGAATTTTGTAGAGGATGACGGCGGAGAGCCGATTCAATTCTACGAAATCGAGAAGATGAACACAAAAGACGGATTGTGGGTCCCATGTGGTCGCACAGCTGACACAAAATTCCAAGTGGACACCCTCAACAAAGGGGATCACTACAAATTCCGTGTCAAGGTTTGTGAAAAATTTTGGCTTTCACTTTTCAACTACTAGATACTAAGAGTTAATGTACCCCTCGGAGCCGACTATTCTATTAGAATGTTTACGATAATTAGAGTATTAAAGTAGTACCTAAAGTGATCAATGTGTTTGATAAAAGCCGAAATTCAGGCAGTGAACGGCGAGGGAGCCTCAGAACCATTGGAAAACGAGGCGGAGATTCTTGCAAAAATCCCTACGAGAGACCGGATAAACCCGGGGAAACCTGAGCCAACCGATTGGGACTTTGATCATGTTGATTTGAAATGGGATCCACCATTGAGTAAGGATTTTGAGAACCTATTCTTGAGCATTTCAACTTTTAGACGATGGAGGCGCGCCTATTGAAGAGTACCAAATCGAGAAGAGAACAAAATATGGACGGTAAGTGGTTGTTGAAAAGTTGAAAAGACTTTAAAGAACCAACTTGACTGCAAATTTAAAAACGAATCTAGTACGTAGTATAGTGGTAGAGAACAACTTTGATAGGAAAGCAATTCCAGATGGGAACCAGCAATCAGTGTCCCTGGTGGTCAAACGACAGCCACTGTGCCTGATTTGACACCAAACGAAGAATACGAATTCCGTATTGTTGCTGTGAATAAAGGAGGACCTTCTGATCCATCAGATCCATCAAAACCCGTTATAGCGAAACCAAGAAATTGTGAGTTTTAATGTAAAAACTAAAACTTCCGTTGCTACAGTAAATATTAGAGTTATTCCTGGACATGCCCTGGCCTTGTTAGTACGGCTTTGAAAACACCCAAAGCTCTGTAGCTAGGTTAGAAAATAGAATCTTGAAGTGAAGTTGACACAAACTTCTATTAGAATTACGATATCAACATCTTTATCTGATTCTTAACTATTTTTTTTTCATTTAGTGGCTCCAAAGATCGACCTTGGCGCTTTGAAAGACATCACCATTCGTGCTGGCCAAATTTTGGCTTTCGATGTACCCGTTGACGGAGAACCAACCCCAACACTCACCTGGTCTGGCCCTGGAGGAAAAGAATTGAAAAATGGAGGCAGAATCAAATTGGAAAATCCACCGAATGTCACCAAATTCCAAGTAATTGAGCATTTTTTTGAAAGTAAACCTTTGAATTCAGATGCGTCAAACTGAACGCGGAGACACTGGAAAGTACACGTTGAAGGCACAAAATGAGAATGGAACCGATTCGGCTACGTGCAATGTAAGGAGAAGATTGAAATTGTGGTTTAAAAATCCTTGAAAATTGAAATTGATATGTAATCATATAGCTTAAACAAAGTATCGTATATCTAAAGAAAGCTATCGTAGGCTTAAATTAAGAGCTAAACTATTATATATTTGAATCTAAGGCAAGCTATTGTATGCTTAAATTAAAAGCTAAGCTTTAATCGTATAATTAAACCAGTTGGTTATTTTAAACTAGTAATATTTGACTTTTACTACTTAAATATCTAGATTTTCAATAACTCTAGATATTTTTAAAATATAAAAACTTTTTGTACTATTTTAATCTCTATTTCTCTAGGTGACCGTCATCGACAAACCATCCCCGCCACAAGGCCCACTTGAGGTCTCAAATGTTCAAGCGAATCAAGTGACTCTTGATTGGAAACCACCAGAGGATGGTGGGAATTCTTGAGTAAACTTTTTAAGTTCTAAGTTTTAGATGGAGGAGTTCCATTGGAGAATTATCTCATCGAGAAATTCGACACAGCCACTGGCAGATGGGTACCGGCGTTGAAGGTAAATAACTTAACCATAAAGCTGACCTTATTTGAATTTGGACTTGTTACTCGATAAAGTCGAATATCTTCCAAAAACTATAACCTAATCTAATGGAACTTATTCACTAGCGTTTTAGCAATTTTCAAATTCAAACCATTCAGGTACCCGCCGGGCAAACAACCGCCAATGTGGATGGACTTCTTGAAGGTCATGAATACAAATTCCGCGTTTCTGCAGTAAACTCTGAAGGAGAATCGGCTCCATTAGAGACATTTTCTCCAATTGTCGCTAAGAATCCCTACGATAAACCGGGTAAACCCGGACAACCTGAAGTCACTGATTGGGATAAGGATCATGTTGATCTTAAGGTGGGTCACACTAGAAAACTTGTTTTGTACTTTGTACTTTGTACTTTAAAACATTCTTTCTAGCAGACTGATTCGCAATTTCCTTTCAAGTGAGGAGAATTAAGTCCACTAGAAACTGTGTATTTACAAAATTTCACAAAAGAAGATCAAGTGCTAGAGAGCGCTTTAGACTTCAACACACTTTAAGCAACAATTTTCTTTCAGTGGACCCCACCAAAAGATGATGGAGGCGCACCATTGGAGAACTATGTGATCGAGGTGAAAGACGAATTCTCACCAAATTGGAAAGAAATCAAAACGGTGCCCGCCGGTCAAACGGAAGCATCGGTGAATGGATTGAAAGAGGGAGAGAAGTACACTTTCCGAATTCGAGCCAAGAACAAAGCTGGAACTGGAGACCCCTCCGATCCAACGAATTCTGTCACATGCAAGCCGAGACATTGTGAGTTCATTTCATTCTATCCATCTACCAAGTTTTCTACATTTCTAAGAATAAGATTCTTACTCCAGCCTTCAAAATTTAGTGGCGCCGGTGATCGATCGAAATTCGATTCAAGAGTTGCGCGTGCGAGCCGGTCAAGACTGTGGATTAGTGATTCCAGTGAGCGGAGAACCACCACCACAGGTAAAACAATTCCCTGACATTACCACCCTTCAAATTCCCCTTTAGATCACCTGGACTTTTGCTGGCGAACCAGTGGAATCAGATGATCGTATCCGGGTGCAAACCGAGGACTATAAGACCAAGTTCAGCATCAGAAAATCGAAGAGAGAAGACGCGGGCACGTATCTGATCACAGCGAAGAATGAGAGTGGAGTGGATACGGCTGAGGTTGGTTTTAGGTCATTTAACAAAATCATTTCTGATTTCTAGGTGAAAGTGATCGTTCTTGATCATCCAACGAAACCACGCGGTCCGTTGAACGTCTCAAATGTGACGAAAAACACCTGTGATCTTGATTGGAAACCACCAGGTTTTATTAAATTTACAAAAACGAAACTAAACTACTTTATTCGTTCATTCTTTTCTTAAGTACTTTGGCAAGATTGGGATTTTGAAATTTGTTTGTTACTAATAGTAAAGTACAAAGTAACAAGTATCTAATCACTACTATATACATAGTAATGTAAAGATTAGTACTAGTACATAGTACTGTTGTATTATAATATCCAGTTTCTCCATTTAGATCAAAATTTGTAGAGAGAAAGAGCTTGTAATTTTCCCTGACCCCTTTTAAGTCAAAACCAGAAGATAGTTTAAAAATTTCTGATCTTAGACTTCTGATCGAAGCTTAAAACTAACAACTCCTGTGTTCAGAGGATGATGGCGGAGCTGAAATCTCTCACTATGTAGTGGAGAAACAAGATCAGGCAACTGGTCGCTGGGTTCCATGCGGAGAAAGTCAAGACACTCACATGAAAGTCAACGATCTCACGCCCGGACACGAGTACAAATTCCGAGTGAAAGCTGTGAATAGGTGAATCAAGAATGAAAAATTCTTCTACGATTTTTTTTCTTTAGATATGGTGACTCTGATCCACTGGAGGCTGACACATCGATCGTTGCCAAGGATCCATTCGATACGGCTGGAAAACCAGGAATCCCTGAGATTACCGATTGGGACAAGGATCGAGCTGATCTCAAGGTTCAACTTTGAACATACTAATTCAGTTGTTGGTAAAGGGTTGAATTCCTTGAACAAATTCTCGTGAATTTGTTAAGTTTAAGGTTTAGAACTAAAATGAATCAAACTTCTAGTGGGCTCCACCTAGCGACGATGGAGGCGCTCCTGTTGAACAATATCTCGTTGAAATGCGTGATGGGAATGGAAATTGGGTGGAAGCGGCCGTTGTGCCCGCAGATCAGACAACAGCCTCGGTGAAAGGATTGAAAGAAGGACATCAATATCAGTAAGCTATTTGCCGATGATCTTTTAATTTGAATCAAACCTTTCAGATTCCGAGTGAAAGCCATTAACAAAGCCGGACAATCGGCTCCATCCGATCCATCGAGACATTTGTTGGCAAAGGCTAGACATGGTTAGGATTTCTTAGTTTATAAGGGTTACAAATTGTAGATTTCTGTAGATTACTGTTGATCTAATAGATTCAAACTAAAGCTAATCTTTCAGTTCCACCAAAGATCGATCGGAAAATGTTCGAGGATTTGAAAGTTCGTGCTGGACAACCGATCAAATTTGATGTAAACGTCGAGGGAGAACCCCATCCAGTCATCGAGTGGTTCTACAATGGAGTACCGCTTAGATCCGATGAGAGGGTTAAGGTAAAAAAGTTTTAAGTTCAAAAATATTGCCCCTTTTTTTAGATTGACAATACAGCTGATCATAACACCAAGTTGACGACAAGAGACGCGCAAAGAGTCGACGCTGGCAAGTACAAGATTGTCGCCACAAATGACAGTGGAAAGGATGAGCACGAGGTTAGGGATAGAATTTCTTTACAGTTTTATTGAAAACAAATTCTATTTGTTCAGGTTGATGTGAACGTGCTTGATGTCCCTAGTGATCCAAAGGGACCACTCCGAGCCGATGACATCACCAAGGATAGTGCGGTGATCTCGTGGAAAGAACCCGAGGTTTGTCTTGGTTTTCGAGAATGAAAGCTATTCAAAAAACTAGAATCATGACAAAAAAACAACTGAATATCTCTTTAGGATGATGGTGGATCACCGATTACTGGCTATATTGTTGAGAAACAAGAAGATGGTGGAAGATGGGTACCGGTGAGTGAAAATATACTGTAATTTTTAGATCTAATCTCATAGCATACGCACGATATCTAAGCCCCAAAAACCAAAAGCATTTCAGTGCGGTGAAACAGACGGCACACAACTTAAAGTCGGCAAACTCAACGAGGGACATGAGTAAGAAAATTTTTTTTGATTCTCTTTAGTTTAGCCTAAAATCTAGATACAAATTCCGGGTTCGAGCTGTGAATAGGCAAGGCCAATCGGGAAATCTTGAGTCACGCGATTCAATTGTCGCCAAGAATCCCTTCGATGAACCCGATCCACCAACGGATGTCACACCAGTTGATTGGGATAAAGATCATGTGGATCTCGCTTGGAAGGTGAGGAATTGCTTGGAAGGCTTTTTAAATATATTTATACACACGAATAATCTGATACAAACACAAACCCTAAAAAAAGAAAAAAAAAAGAACCAATGTAGAGAGAAAAAGAGTCGATGGGATTGAACCCTTGACCTCCCGACTAAGAAAAAGGGCTCTTAGCCAGTCGGCCATGACAGCTTACGAATCTGTCGACAAAATTTTGAATTAAACCTAGGTCAAGGTGGTCCATCTACAGGCCAATCACATTTTAAATTGAGCTACCTAACTTCAGTGATACTTTGCTTTATAAACAGGGATGTTCCAGGTTTTGAATTACTTGGTTTTGGGCTAAAAAAAGCTGGCCTCTGACCCACCTTGACCTAGCTTTAATTCTAAATTTTGTCGACGGATTCCTAAACTAGACAAAAACAAGAAATTTCCATATTACAATTTCCTTTTCAGGCCCCGGCAAATGACGGTGGAGCACCGATTGAGAAATACATCGTCGAAAAGAAAGACAAATACGGAGATTGGGTCGAGTGCGCTGTGGTGCCCGGTGATCAGACAAAGGTCAGATTTTTTTTGACTAGCAATATTACCAGCAAATTTCTAGGCTACTGCTCCAAATCTGACTCCCGGGGAAACGTACCAATTCCGGGTGAAAGCTGTGAACAAAGCTGGCCCTAGCAAGCCATCTCAAGCCACAGGGCCAGTGGTGGCGAAAGCAAGACGACAAGCGCCAAAGATCAATCTCGATGGATTGACGGATTTGAGAGTGAAAGCCGGGACACCGATCAAAATCGACGTCTCGTTTGAGGGAGCACCCGCTCCAACAGCCACCTGGAAAATCGGCGATAAGCCGGCAGCTGGCGATGATCGAGCTGAGGTGAGTGAAAGCTTAAAATCTCATCCCTACACTTTAAATGTTTAAAGCTTTTATGTTATAATTATCTTTGCTTACTGCAATCCCAAAGCTCAACACTTCGAAATCCCCTCTTTCCAGGTGAAATCCACCCCAAGCACCTCATCGCTCGTGATCCCAGCTTGTCGAAGAGGTGACTCTGGTCAATATTTCATCACAGTTGAGAATGAATTCGGCAAGGATACCGCTAAATGCAATGTCACCGTTTTGGATGTACCCGAAGCGCCGAAAGGACCAATGAAAATTGGAGACATTCACAAAGAGGGATGCACTTTGCAATGGAAACCACCAGAGGATGGTTGGGAATTGTTGACAAAATTGAATCTAGATCTAAAATTTTAGACGGAGGATCGGATATCTTGCATTATGTTGTTGAGAAGATGGACACGACAAGAGGCACTTGGCAAGAGGTGAGTCGGCTAACTTTTGAAGTTAGTGTCAAATAGAAAACTAGTAATTGCCGTTTTTTGTGCCTATTTCTACCGTATTTTGTTGCCTATTTTTCACGAAATTCTCCACCTTTATTTGAATCATAAATTCTAGGTTGGCCAATTCCCCGACTGTGAGGCCAAGGTGACCAAACTGCAACCGGGCAAAGAGTACCTCTTCCGCGTGAAAGCTGTCAATTTACAAGGCGAGAGTAAACCGCTTGAAGCCGACGAGCCGATCATCGCGCGAAATCGCTTTGATGTCCCCGATGCACCTGAGAAACCGGAAGTGACCGATTGGGATAAAGATCGTATCGATATCAAGTGGAATCCACCGGCCAACAATGGAGGATCGCCGATCAAGGGGTCAGTTGGGATTGGCAGGAACGGAATCGATTGGAACTATCGTCTAGGCTATAAGTTGTCTAGAAATCACAAATCTCTATTTCAGATACATCGTCGAGAAGAAAGAGAAAGGCTCAGCAATGTGGGTGGAAGCAGGTCGACCAACAGGCACCGCGTTCTCAGCCACAAATCTGAAGCCAGGCGTGGAATATGAGTAAGTTCAACAATTTCTCGAATTCGATTACGGTAAACAGTCCATCATTTGATAAATTTCCAGACTCCGTGTGAAAGCGATCAATGAAGCCGGAGAGTCGAGACCGTCGGATCCATCCGATTCCCAGATCACTAAGGCTCGCTATGTAAAGCCGCAGATAATGACTCGAGATCGAAAGATTAAAATCAAAGCCGGACACACTCACACCATGGAAATTGACTTTATCGGATCGCCTGAGCCAACTGCTGTTTGGACGAAGGATGGAAAGGAGGTAGCCACTTTAGAAGTACTACTCTAGCTACAGAAGACTATAAATCCGATTTTACTAGCCGGGATCGAATCTTTGTTTCTTTGAAACGCTAGCCAAAACTCTAAGAGACATTGGATCTTGGGACTTAGCTTTACCAATTACAGTACAGTGCCTTTATAGACGTTATAGTACCCTTTCCAGGTCCCTGCCGAGTTGATGGTCGACAAGAAGACCGGCAAAGCCTCAATCTTCTTCCCATCAGCAAAACGAGAACAAAGTGGCACCTACAAGTTGAAATTGAAGAATGATATTGGGGAAGATGAGGGAGATTTCGAAGTTGTCGTCCAAGATCGACCATCACCTCCAGAAGGACCTCTCGAAGTGTCCGATGTAACGAAGGACAGCTGTACTCTTGCATGGAATCCGCCAAGTCTGTATTTTTTTATAAAACTATGTTCAAATTTTGATCGGATTATGTGAATTTCTCGAATTTCAGAGGACGACGGTGGCTCGGAAATCACGAACTATGTGGTCGAGAAGCGAGACATCAAATCAGGCACCTGGGCACCGGTGTCGAATTTCGTCGCTGGAACTACTTGCACTGTGCCCAAGCTACAAGACGGACACGAATACGAGTGAGTTTACTTTGAATGAATTTGAATTTCGAAAAATAGGCTTCTTTTTTTGCACGGAACTTCTTAAAATTTCAGTAACAAATATTCAGATTCCGTGTCGTCGCGCAAAACGCTTTCGGCTCCTCCGATCCGTTGACAACCGATCGCCCAGTGCTTGCCAAAGATCCATTCGGCACTCCTGGAAAACCAAGCAAGCCACAGATCACCGACACTGACAATGATCATATTGATATTCAGTGGGATCCGCCAAGTGAGTTGAAAGCTATTTTGCAATTGCTACACTAAAAGAATAAAAAAGCATAAGGGAGTTTTCTAAAAGACACTTAAAATTACCGTTATCAAACCGCTAGTTTACATTCGATCAGCCGAATTTTTGTATCATTAATTGAGCGATGATTTCTCAAAAAAATTGCACTGATTAGATGAAAGCTAAAAGTTTGATTACGGTACTTTTAGTGCCTTTTAGAAAACGAAACTAACTGATAGCTAATTAAATGTAAATTTCAGGAGACAACGGCGGATCACCGATCTCACACTATGATGTAGAAAGAAAAGATGCGAAGTCAGGCAGATGGATCAAGGTGAACACGCAGCCAGTGATGGGCACAGCATTCAAAGATGAACGAGTGCAGAAAGATCACACTTACGAGTACAGAGTGGTTGCGGTGAACAAAGCGGGACCTGGAGAACCATCAGATCCATCGGATCCTGCCACAGCGAAACCGATGTTCGAAGCACCGAGATTCGACTTGGGAATCGACGGAAAAGAGTTCCGAGTGAAAGCCGGAGATCCGTTACTCATCCAGATTCCGTTCTCTGGATCACCGAAACCTGAGATCTCGTGGACAAGAGATGGCCAACCGTTGCCAAACATTGACACCACTGACTCTATCACACAACTGCATATTTTGACGGCGAGAAAGTCGGATGCTGGACCGGTGAAAATTCGAGCCGTCAACAAATTGGGCGAAGCGGAGGCGAATATCAAGATCACGGTGATTGATCGACCATCGCCACCCGAGAATCTCACCTATCCGGAGATTTCCCGACGATCGGCTACGCTTAAATGGGATCCACCGAAAGGTTTGAAAATAGTTTGAAATAAGGAATTGATGTAGGCTTTTGAAACTTTACGAGTAGTAGGGCTGGACAGATGGACAGTAATGGAAAGGGTTATGGTAATGGGATGATTTAGATGAGTTATACGGTGGGATTACAGTAATGGGCTAAACGAAATTTACAGTAAGACTATGGTGTTTGGTCAAAGCTTATCAAACGCTCGAAAATTTGCCAAAAATATAGAGAATATTCAGATGATGGCGGTGCGGAGATCATTGGCTACAAGATCGAATACCAACAAGAGGGATCGATGTTCTGGGAGAAAGTGCCGCAAACTGTTGCCGCCACGCAATTCACTGTTAGGGGATTGGAGCACGGGGCACGGTATCGCTTCCGCATTCGGAGCCGAGAATATGGCTGGATTGTCGGATGATTTGACTGGCATCCCCATTGTGATCAAGGATGACTTTGACCCACCAGGCGCTCCAAGTACTCCCGATATCACTGGGTGAGTTTTAAGGAGGAAAACGAAATACCTCTACCGTAATTTTGACTCTAGTTTTTACTCAATCTACTTAGTTTGTAACTCTTTCGACCTTGTACATCTCAAAGAAAAGAAAAAAAGGGATAGATTGGCTGATTACGGTAGTTTTCATTACAATAGTAAACAATGTCTCAATTGTACACACCTGTAATTTGTACTTTATTCTTTTCTTATCACCAAATTTCAGCTATGACACCAACTCGGTTTCTCTCAAATGGAATCCACCAAGAGAAGGTAAGAGATTTTAGAGTGAACTTGGGATTGATCCCTTGATCTTTCGAATCATAGCCAAGACTGCTAATCAATAATCCAATTTTTTTCAGACGGTGGTTCACCGATTTTGGGCTACGTGATCGAGAGATTTGAGAAGAAAGGTGGAGGCGATTGGGCGCCGATTCGAATGCCGTTAATCAGGTGGGGGAATGCTTAGATTTACTGTAGGCAAATGTACTCTCGTAGCTTATAGCTTACAACCAGCTAGCCATTGTTTTCTAAAACATTTCTTTTCAGAGGCACCGAGACGACGATCAGAAACCTCTTTGAGGGTGAAACCTATCAATTCCGCGTGCGCGCTGTCAACGCTGCTGGCGAGGGTCCACCAAGTAATGGAAGTGAACCTGTCACTTGTAAACCGTTCGTTGGTGAGCACTATATAATCCCCCTTCTCTAGCATACTGTGAATCCATTTGTAATTGTAATTGTGATTGTCAATAAGGAAATTGAATTAAAATTTGAGCTTTAGTGCCACCTGGTGCTCCGGATGCTCCACATGTTGGTAAAACGACAAAGAACTCGGCTGAGCTCACTTGGATGAGGCCAACGTTTGATGGAGGAGCGCCAATTGATGGATACATTGTTGAGAAGAGGAAAGTTGGAGACTCAAATTGGTCTCGATGCAATGAGAAGCCAGTCAAGGTGAGAGTCGATTTCAAAAGTTTTAAGCTAACAAAATGAGCTGAAATGATATCAAAATTGGTTTAGGACTGTCGCCTGAATGTTGAAGGACTAAAGGAAAAGAGCAATACGAATTCCGTGTGCGTGCTGTAAATACAGCTGGTGAGGGTGAACCATCAAGACCATCAGATCCAGTCACCATTCAGGTAGTTTCAGTGTAGTTGTGAAATGATTTCTGAACCTAGGATGCACCTGGTCGCCCGGTTTTCGATCTCTCTGGCTTGCGGGATATTGTCGTACGAGCTGGTGAAACAATCGAAATCAAAATCCCATTCTCTGGTGGAAATCCAAAACCAACAATCGACGCTTTTAATGGAACTCAGCCAATCTACGAGGACTCGAGAACAACTGCTGAGGTGGGGAAAGATTTTGTCTCCTCTTAATTATAAAGCATTTAAGGTGATGCCCGATCACATCCTCATCACTACCACAAACGCCAAGCGAACTGATGGAGGACCATATAAAATTGTGCTCTCTAATCGATTTGGTAAAGATGAAGCGAAGTTGAATGTCACTGTTTTGGACGCGCCTGGGAAACCAACTGGACCGATCACTGCTAGTGAAATTAGTGGTGAAGAAATGACGCTTCATTGGCGACCACCGAAAGAAGATGGAGGCGCTCCGGTCACCAATTATGTTGTTGAAGCAAGGACGAAGAATGGAGAATGGAAGAGAATTGGGCAACCAATTGGATGCCAATTTAAAGCAAGAAATCTCATCAAGAATCAAGACTATGAATTCCGTGTCTCGGCAGAGAATCAATTTGGAGTCGGCGAGCCGCTTGTTAGTGATGATTCGTTTAGAGCAAAAGATCCATTTGATACCCCTGGAGCGCCTGGACGTCCAGGAACCTATGGAAACAAATCCGGATTCAATCGTAGTGACTTGGACAAGACCGTACACTGATGGAGGCTCACCAATTCAAGGATATTATCTAGAGAAGAGAGAGAAGGAGGAGATTGGGAAAGAGTTCAACATGGGCTAATTCCTGAAACTCGTTTCAAAGTCTACGGCTTGACAGCTAAGAAAGAGTACGAGTTTCGCGTATGTGCTGTCAATCAAGCTGGCAGTGGAGACTATTCAGAGAATAGTGTACCAGTTTTAGCTGACAATGCTCCATGCAAGCCGAAGATTGACATGGGTTTGTTGACAAGAGATGTTACAGTTTATGCTGGAGAGATTGGAAAGGTTCTTGTACCCTTCGCTGCAACGCCAGCACCGAGAATCTCTTGGAGCAAGAATGGAGCAACAATTGATAAAAAGGATCCACGTGCTATCATTGATTTCAATGACTATTTAGCTACATTGACTTATAATAAGTCTCAATTGGATGACACTGGATCATACACAATAACATTGGAGAATTCAATGGGATCCGATTCAGCAACAATCAAATTCAAAGTTGTTTGACAAACCGGCACCACCTGAGGGACCATTGGAGGTGACTGATATCTCACCCGATGGTTGTCTTGTCTCATGGAAAGAACCAAAATCTGATGGTGGATCACCGATCACTAATTATATTTTGGAAAAGATGCATGTTGGTAGAGGAAATGATCGATGGGAAAAAGTCTCATCATTTGTTCGAAACACGAATCTTTATGTGACCGGCTTGCACGAGAACGAGAAATATAAATTCCGGTGAGCTTTTTTTAGGTTTTTAAGAAAGCAATTAAGCATTAAGCAATCAAGCAATCAGCGATTAAATAAAAAAAAATAATTCTAGGTACGAGCTGAGAATCAATACGGTGTCTCCGATCCACTCGAGTGCCGAGAACCGATCACTGCTCGATATCAATTCAATGTACCTGATGCTCCCGATCAACCATCTGCGAGAGATATGGATCGAACTTGGATCGATCTCAATTGGGAAACCCCGCACGATGGGGGATCGAAGATTTTGGGTTATGTGGTGCAATATCGTGATGTGAATGTTGGAAAGTGGATGACTGTGGGTAGAGATATTGTCAAGGAGAACAATGTGCGAATCGCTGGCCTCAGGGATTGTGGAGAGTAAGTTTTCAGCTCAGTTTTTTCTTTTACTCATAGTCTTTACTCGTACAGTAAACTCTCGATTTAACGTTTCTAGAACGTGTTCCAAATTTCTTGCGTAGCTGCGAACGACCAACGATTGACTAGACGGTTACGCAGAAATCAAGAGCACTTTTTAGAAGTTCAAAATCCTTTTATCGACTGTACATTGAAGAATGAAGCCAATTTAAATTCAATTCAAAACACTCAACTTTTAGATACGAGTTCCGAGTGCAGGCGAAGAACGCAGCTGGACTCTCGAAGCACTCGCCGGTGGCGAAACTGACGCTGAAGTCACGCATCGCTCCACCCGGCCCACCAACCCAGCCAGCCGCTCAATCAATCGGCCGCAATCACGTCACTCTCACCTGGGGCGCTCCCATTGATGATGGTGGCTCAAAAGTCACTGGCTATCATGTAGAAATGAGAGAATATGGATCATCCAACTGGTATCAGGTCTCCGATTATGCCATTCTTGAGCCAGAGTTCACTGTGCCTAACCTCAAAGAGTTCCACGATTATGAGTTCCGAATTGTTGCCGAGAACAAGGCGGGTCGCGGTTTCCCCAGCTTACCCACTGCACCAATCAAGATTCAAGAGATGGGTGGATCGAAGCCGGAGATTGTTGTCAAACCGGAAGATACTACTCAACCGTATAACAGACGAGCTGTGTTTGTTTGTGAAGCTGTGGGCAGGCCTGAACCTACTGCTAGATGGCTGAGAAATGGGAGAGAGCTGCCGGAAAGCACGAGGTATCGCTTCGAAGCTCATGATGGAGTCTACAAATTCACGATTAAAGAAGTCTGGGACATTGACGCTGGAGAGTACATGTGAGGTGGCAAATGTGTTCGGAACGGACTCAGCCACAGCTAGACTTATTGTTCAAGCACCGCCGGTGATTGAACGAGATGTACCGAACACGATTCTTCCACTAAATGAGATGGTTCGCTTCAAGATCTACTTCTCGGTTCGGCGCCATTCAATCATTTATTGACCTGAATAAGAAAGAAGTGAGTGGAGGCATCCAACAATTCGAACGGTTGGATTTGATGATCATTTCTTGATCACAATTACTTCACTTCAACCAACGGAAACTGGAAGATACGAGTATACAGTGAGCAATGACAGTGGAGAAGCGACAACTGGTTTCTGGTTGAATGTCACTGGTTTACCAACTGCTCCACAGGACCATTATCTTTCGAACATGTGGGCAAAGATTATGTGACACTTTCTTGGAGACCACCAGTTGATGATGGAGGCTCAAGAATTAGGGGATATTTGATTGAGAAGCGAGATATTTTGAGAGAAGAATGGACCACTGTCGCCTCACAAGTCAGAGAATTGTCCTACATGGCGCAGGCACTTTTCGAGAATCATGAGTACGAGTTCAGAGTTTCGGCTTTTAACGAAAATGGTGTTGGTGCGCCGCTCGTCTCCGATAACTCGGTCATTACAAAGCTGCCATTTGATCCACTGGTCCACCAACGAATGCTGAGATTGCGCAAATTGGAAGCGATTTCCTTACTTTATCGTGGCTTCGTCCGATCTCTGATGGTGGTGGTCGAATTCGTGGCTATGTGATTGAAAAGAAAGAGGCTGGTACAGATACGTGGGTACGCTGTAATCAGACTCCATCGGCTCCCAATCAATTCAATGTACCAAATTTGATCGATGGTCGTGACTACGAGTTCAGAATCTTTGCTGTCAATGAAGCTGGCTTCTCAGAAGCGCTTGAGGTGCCAAAGTTGAAATTTTTGGCTGCTGGTGGTGGATCACCGCCAAGAAATCATCAGACAAGCCTCAGATGTGTACGGAGAAACAGGTAGATCAGTGACTTTCGAGTGTGAGATTAAAGGGAGATCCAAGACCAGAGATTAAATGGTTGCGAGGGATGAAAGAACTTGTTTCCACTTCGAAGTACACTTTATTGAACAAGGAACTATTCAAACACTTATTGTCAACGATGTGCAAGCTGATGACGCTGATGAGTACTCTTGTCGGGCAGTTAATGCAAAAGGAACGAGGAACAACAAGAGCTCAACTCAAAGTCAAGACAAAGCCAAGAGTTTTCGTACCACCGAAATATCATGGAGGATATGAGGCACAAAAGGGTGAAACGATTGAGATTCAATTGCCATATAAAGCTTTCCCAGCTGGTGAGGGAAGATGGACAAAAGATGGGGAAAAGATTGAGAATGGGGAGAAATATTCGATCACAAGTGATGAGAAAACGGTGAGCATTGAGAATTTCCGGGAGCATCGAGAGAAGATTATGGAACGTATCGAGCGACAGTTGAGAATAGGTTGGAAGTGATTCAGCTTTCAGTCACAGTCACAGTGGCTGATCGACCCGATCCACCGAGAGCACCACAGGTTTGGCATTGATTTGTACTTTGGGTTTCTTGAAAACGCAAGCTTTCTGCTGCACTAAAGTCTTACGATCTTCCCTCTTGTTGAAAGGGAGTGACTTTAGTGAGTGCCCTAATTAACAAATGCGTTTGCAACTTGTAACAACTTTTGAGAGTACAAAGTACGCCTCAAGAAAGCTGTAACCTAAGATAGCTCAACAATTTATCTAAATACTAAATTACTTATTTATTAAATTAAATTGTTCGTTAGAACTTAGTTGGATTAAGAAGTTCAATTGAAAATCCGTTTCTAGATTGAAAATCCGTTTCTAGATTGAAAATGTTCTCGATGAGGCAGTGATTCTCTCAGTGGAAACCACCACGGAGTTGTTGTTAAAGCTTTCGTTTATTTATTCTTTAAATACCTTCTTTATTCTTTTTTTTCTAGTTATTATTGATCGAATTTATTAATCTATATCTATATTATATTTACAGCTTGATGGCGGATCTCTTGTCACTGGGTACACTGTCGAGAGAAGAGACACAACTGGAAGGACAATGGACTCCATGTGCTAAATCCCGAGGTTTGTTTTTTTTTTGAAAAAAGCTTTACTTTCAATAATTGAAACTATAGGATTTGGTGAATAAAGTTGATTACACTGATCTTAAACAAATTCTCAATGCAATCTTCTTTCGATCTTTCGATCAATCATCCTCATAAAACGATCCCTACTATTTCCTAGGGAGTAACTTTTGACTTCTTTAAATCTAATGAACTAACTGATAAACTACTACCGTATTTTCTCTAATAGTGGTAGTAGCACCCCGGCTTGAGCCGAGTTGATAGCTATTTTACGGTTTTCAAGCATTTGCAGACGCTCAACACTCCTAATCCCCCACTGGATCTCATCGTCCGCTACATTTTTCCGATCCCACATCCAATGGGTTCTGATAAGCGGTTCTCGAGCTTTCCGAGTAATTTAGGCGCTGCTCAGGGTGCACTACTATTAAGAAAATACGATTATTTAAATCTAAATGAACTTAAACAATTGACATGTAAAGTAAAGTAAAATACAAGTAAAATAAAAATTCAATTCAAAATTCGAATAAAACCTTTTCTAGATTCACCTACATCACGATCGAGGGACTCAAAGCTCTTCACCAATACGAATTCCGGGTGACAGCTGAGAATAAACACGGAATCTCTAGAATCCATGTGAACCAACAAATGCTGTCACAATTCCTGGTTTTGAAATTTGGGAAAACGATTTTTGAAATCTATTTTCATAGTTCGTACTTATAGGATAGATTCAAATTGGTAAAAAATTTTAAATCTCATTTCAGCAAACGTTTAACGGAAATCGGTAGCCATTTTAACTGTAACCTTTTTAACCCCCTTTAAACTAGAACTCTATTAGATTTACTATTGCAAAACTAAGCTTCATTCTTATAACATTTCCAATTTTTCCTTTCTAAACGATATCATTTAAGGTGATGGCCGTCGTCGAAGAAGGAATTACGATGTGGATGAGAGTGGAAAGATCATCCGGGGACAGAGGAACGCCCGCTTCCAATTATGATGTTTATGTCTTGTTGATGTTTGGAAGCAATATTATCCAGGGGCTGTCGATATCAAGACATCGTCAATCATATTATAAATACGATATCTGTGAGGGAGATCCGGAAGGTCAGTTTATAGATGGTTTTCATTTGGAGACTTGAGTCTTTAGAGATTTGGATGAATCAACCTGTCTTTGGTTACCGTTACCGGAAGAACTCTAAAGAGTGCTTACCTTACTAAATAATCCGCACACTTAACTAATGTATAGCTGTAGATTTATAGCCCTTTACTGTAGCCGGTTGTGTTAATATCTATGGTTACGGCTAATGGTGAGAGTAGTTCGGAGAAAACTTTCCATGTTTCCCGATTTGAATATCTATTTCTGAGAAATGAAAAGAAAATCCCTTTTCAATGGAGACATTTGGAGTGGTTCATCGATGTGTTGAGCGCTCAACGGGCAACACATTTGCTGCCAAATTTGTCAACACTTCCCCATCAAACCGATAAAGAAACCGTCCAAGAAAGAGATTCAAGTGATGAATGCATTGAGGTCGAAGGAATAAGCTATGGAAAAAAAAGCTAGCAAAAAAGAAATCAGATATCAAATCAGGCCTAAAACTAAGAATACAAGATTCAAGGTTAATCTCGTAAACATTTCCGAAATCCATCGGTAATCCATCTCCATGATGCTTATGAGGATGATCACGAGATGGTGATGGTTTATGAGTTTATCAGTGGTGGAGAGCTCTTTGAGAAAGAGTCGCTGATGAACAGAACAAGTGAGTTTGAACTTAAAACAAAAGCAATTTGAATTTGAATTTGAATTAAGCGTAATTTGAATTGAAATCATAATTTACTAGATTAATCAAAAATAGCCTAAGGATTAGTTGTTGTTGATTAAAATAAGGTTTGTTGATATCATCATAACAGATCTCGAAATCTTTCAGAATGAGCGAGAAAGAAGCTGCGAACTATATGCGTCAAGTTTGTGAGAGACTTCGTGTCATGCATGAAACAATCATGTGCATTTGGATTTGAAACCCGAAGAATATCATGTTCACATCGAAGAGAAAGAGTGACAAACTGAAATTGATTGATTTCGGTTTAGCCACTCCATTGGATCCAAGAAATCACGTGAAAGTCACCACTGGAACCGCAGAATTTGCGGCTCCTGAAGTAGCGAATGGGGGGGCTGTTGGATATTACACTGATATGTGGAGTGTTGGAGTGCTTTCGTATATCTTGTAAGTGGATGAAAAGTATAATAATCTTGTTCAATAATCTCTTTCTTTAATGGCTTTTAATGGCTTTTTAGTCTAAGATTTTAGCCAAGAAAAGGCAACGAATTTGAATTATAATAACTAGAAGTTGAACACCAAGAAAGCTGAGAATATAAAACATGAATCAGGAAACACCGGGATTTGAACCCTCTTGCTTACTGGCCGAACGCTCTACAAATGAGCTACATGACCCCGTTTCTCATTGCTGTCTTTCTTGGATATATCGTTACCCAAAATTTTCTAGATTATCTGGTCTTTCACCATTTGGTGGAGGAAACTGATGAGGAAACGCTGAAAAATGTTCGATCTTGTGATTGGAGTATTGACGATCCAACATTCTCAGGAATCTCTGAAAACGCAGAAGATTTTGTGAAAGAAGCTTTTACTTAAGGTGAGGATTTGATGGATTCGAGAAATAGACAGAAATATATACAGAAATAAAGACAGAAATATACACAGAAATATAGACAGAAATATGGAGGCAGGAAGTGTGGACCCCCCCCCCCCCCCCCCCCCCCCCCCCCCCCCCCGGGGGGCTACATACAGAAATATGAACAAAATATAGACAGAAATATATACCGAAATATATACAAAAATATAGACAAAAATATATACAGAAATATATACAGAAATATATACAGAAATATATACAGAAATATAGACCGAAATATATACAGAAATATGAACAGAAATATAGACCGAAATAGATGAAAGAAATATAGACCGAAATATATACAAAAATAATCACCAATTTAGGACCCTCGAGAGCGATTATCAATCTTCGATGCTTTGGATCATCCATGGTTACATCATCGGGAGAAACAGCAAATTACGATGACACAATCCCATCAAACAGATATAGAAATATTCGGGATTCGGTGAAGAGGAAATATGTAAAGTCACAGACTCAGTTTAGACATTTTGTAGCTACAGTATGATAAGATAAGGTATGAAGCGTAGACTGGAAGCTGTGAAAGAGAAATGAAAGAATTGGCAAGAAAAAGTCGAGGAGGGAATTGAGACCCTTGACCTTTTGCTTTACAGGCAATTCCCTCTAATGATAATGAGCTATTCGGTACTATGATTTGCAAGGAAAAAGATGGTTTCATGTCTTTGTAAAGCATAACTGTATCAAACTGTGAACTGTAAGACTTCCTGTTGTAGTCCGGAAGTGTAAAAGCTATATAAAACCAAGCGATGCTTTGTGGGATGCCTGGCCTGAACCCCTTCCACCAATGGGTCGAATGTGGGGACGACTCATCACTACAGAGAAAACTTCGCCCAACCAGGCACTCCATTCGTGACGCTTACTTTGATCGACAAGAGGCCACTCCTCGCTTCATCGTTCGTCCATTCCCGACCACATGTGCTGAGGTGAAATTTGGGACTGAAATCAGACTTGCTGACTACTGATTGCTGGTGCTTAATTAGCCAAAATATTAAAGCATTTTACGATCAATTTAAGCACTATACATACTCATGCAGAAAACTCGTTTTATAGTCTTATAGTCTTATAATTAGAATAGAGCTTTTAAAAATTGTATCTTTTAAATAAAATCTCTCATTTTAGGGTCAATCCGCGTCATTCTTTTTGTCAGTGGGCCTTCGCCGCTTCACCTCCAATTATACTCGTGGCATCCACCGAACGAAAGAATTGAGACAAATCCGTCAAATATATGAAGAAATATGAGGGATCTGACTACACCCGGTCATCAATCGAGAGTCAAATGGATGACAAAGGAAATTACACGGTAGGGGAATTAGATTCGAGTCTAAACGTTGAATAACGCCGATTCGTTTATGGGTTGAGAAGCATGAGGGTCGGCGCCCCGGCGTCCAAACCCTTTTGCTTACTGGTCGAACGCTCTACCAATAAGCTACACTGAAACGTTTTCGTTATCGCCTTATCCACTTACTTAGATCCGTTTACTTCAATAAAAATCAATAATCTCTCACTTTTTCCTACTCTCGGCTCTTCAAGGTTCGCCCTCAAAACTCTTATGGAGCTCGCGAAGAACCTAATCCACCTCACCGTTCTCAAACAATCCGTTGAATTCCAGTCGAAACCTTTGCAAGACCAATGCGAAAGGTTTTAGACTCTTTTCATTCACAAATCAAAAGATTAATTTTCGAGACATTTTTCCCTTGTCTTATCATAAAGTTTCAATCATTTTTCTTTTTTTTTCAGGTCAGAGTTGCCCCAAAGTGGAAGAGTTCAAGGAAAAGCGCGCGGCACCGAAATTCTCGTTCCACTTGCGACACTTTCCGGCTCATCCAGAAAAATCACCAATGCAAACTCATTTGCAGAATTTGATATGGCACTCCAGTTCCAAAGGTAAACTGATTTGTAATGATTGAGATTTTTGTAACAAAGACCCAAATTCCCAAGCTGAAAAACAAGATCAATCAAGTCAATCGAAATTTATTAAACGAATCGATTTTCCAGGTTGAATGGTTTAAAGATGGTCAAACCGGTGGACGCAGATCGAGTCCAATTGACCCATCCGTCCGGTATTTGCTTCGTTGGAGATCTTTAACGCGAGGATGGAAGATGCTGGCGAATATTCTTGTGCTGTTACCCATCCTTGGAGAGAAGATCAGACTGGGTGGGTGCTTTAATATCGGCTTCATGCTTGTCCCAAACTTCTTAGCAGAAAATCATGTTTTCTAGTCCAAGAACAGTCAAAGGTCCAAAGGGTTTGAATCAGTTTTCTGTCAGGGCAGAATCCATGCTTGGCTTATAGGCCCAGTTAGAGGTCTTGCTTGGCTTTTTAGGCCCAGTTAGCGAGTCTTGCTTGGCTTATAGGCCCCCTTAGTTCGGCCAAGACTCCTGAAGCTCGTTGAAAGCCAAACCTGCCTCTTGGCTCGCGGACCCAACTATTAAAGCTTAAATTATTGAAAGCCTAACTTCAGTAAACCTAACTAAATATACAGAATTAACCTGGCCCTAAAAACTCAACTTGAAATCTTTAGATGTCTTGTAACGGTGCAGGGTCGTGGTGGATCGGTGCGTGAAGGCGATCTACGAAATCTCCGCCTATACAAGACCGCGACGAAATCGCGACTCGGTCCACTCTTCGTGTTGGTGGAGATGTTGAACGGTGAGTTTTCGATCAAAGTAATGAAATTCAACTTTGAAACATTTCAGGAATAAATCCCATTCTTGTTTTTGATTTATTATTTGTAAGTGCTGAACTCCTTATTTCTTACTTTACTTCTCAAAAATTTCAATTTCAAAAAAACCAACTTCTTTTTCTTTTCTATATCCTAGACAAACCTTTTTTTTACCCTCTAAATCCAAATTTGCAGTTCATATTCGAGTGCGGACATTGCAAGAAGGGCTCGTGATGTGTCGCCTCTTACTTCTCGTGATGATATTATTCCGGGTAAAGGTTATGGTTGTCGACTCTTTTTGCTCACAAAAATTCGACTTTTGCATTTTCGAGTCGTTTCTCCGTCAGGTGTAAAGCGGAAATACGCGCTAGCGGAAGCTCTTTAAAATCTACTTTTTCCAAGTTTTTCATTAAATAAACCTTATAAAATGCTATTCAATAGTTAAAAAAACGGTTGAAAAAGTCGATTTTAAAGGAATTATTGGGAATTTCCGTCGTATACCTATTGACAAACGCATTGAAAATGCACAGGTACTCATTGTGATATTCCGCGGGGTTTTACAGTAAGCTTACAGTGCTTGCAGTAAGGTTACAGTGCTTGCAGCAAGCTTACAGTGCTTACAGCAAAGCTTACAGTGCTTACAGCAAGCTTACAGTGCCCCGGCAAACTTGGTCGCCACAGTGGCTTACAGTTAACTACAGTGCTTACAACAAGCTTGATGCTTACGGTAAGCTTGCACAGTTAACTTACGGTAACACAGCAAGCTTACAGTGCTTACAGTGCTTACAGCAAGCTTACAGTGCTTGCAGTGGGTTGGTACTTACAACAGAAGCTTACAGTGCTTACAGTACAATGCAACAAGTCCAAGGTGATGCTAATCGGTTAAAGAATCGTTTCTTAAAACAAAATCCTAAAAAGAAAACTTTTCGAAATCATCGTTTCCAGCTTGGTTTGATGGGGTGATCGATCAAATGATTCAGCTAGCCAATTTCTCCCCAACAAAAATCAATATCAATCACAAAATACGAAATTCACATTTTCAAAAACAAAAAAAACCCTTTCCCAAAATTTACCTGTTATTATATATTTGTATTCTCCGTATTCATTTTGCCATTTTTGTTTTATCCAATTTTTTGTACTTTATCCCTGAAATTCTAAATAAACCAGTGACTTTTTTTAAGACAAATTTGGACAATTTTTGTCAAATTTTTATCAAATTACGTCAAATTTCCTTGTCCAAATTCATATAAAAATGAAATAATAATAATCGATTTTATGAGACAAATTCGATTATTCAGTGGCTGGGACACTGCTGAATAAGCTGTGATTTGAGAAATCCCAAAAAATATCAATATGATGTGGAGTACTCTTGTCAGAGGCAGTTATCAAAAAAACTAGCAAAAATTCTCCAACACAATTTCAGGGACGATTTGTGTTTGAGTTTTTCAGAAAGTTTTTTGAAAGTTCCTACAAATTTCGCTATTATTCAGATGATTTTTCAGCGGCCGGGACTCTGCTTTGAATAGCTGAATAGATTGAGATTTGTTTAAATGCTAATGGAAACCCATGAGAAACAATGAGAACAATATTTCAAATAATAAATCCTAATTTTCCTTTTTCATTATCGCAACTGATTTTGAAGGAAATTGGGATTTTTTTTAGAAAAGCGGCGTTTTCGAAAACGTTTTATTTCTTCAAATTCCAATCTTTCTAATCATTTTCTATCATAATCTATCGAAAAATTGAAGAATTTTTTGAAAGAAGATTGAAGATTGAGAAAAGAGTAAGATTGAAGAAAAGAGTAAAGATTGAAGATTGAAAATTGAAGAAAGAGTAAGATTTTCCCCACACTAATCACCAAGACTGGTTAGTGGGCTGAAAAAATAAAACTTCAAAACTTTAATCGTTTTTCTAAAAAATGAAATATTCTTTCAAAACAGAAATTAACCAAAAAAAAAAAAACAAAAGAAATGAAAAGTTTTGAAACAAAATTTACCAGTTTTTAGTGAGTTTCAACAAAATTTTTTACACATTTTTCATTTATAAATTCTAGGAAAATTTCTTTAAAAATAATGGAAAAAAAGTGGATTGGCTCGGTTTTTTTTGTACGCTATTTTATCAATTTCTTTCAGAAAAAGTTCTTAGTTTTGTAATTTTCTTCTAT